AACAGTAGCAGATGTAATCACTTTGTTTGCTCAGATTTCTCTTATCAATGAGCACTGTTTATGCGTTATAAAACACCAAGTTTTTTTGTAAGCCTTTACGTAAATGGCTCACTATCAACCCATTTGTTAATTTCATCTCTTTTTTTCCGAGCTTGCCTGAACGCAACACTATTCCTGCGGGAACAGCTTTAGTTATCATGGGGGAATGAACCTCCCCCTGCATTCAGATAACTCCCTGTGTTATTTAATGCAGACAGCAGCTCGCCTCAGGTGTGAGAGAGATTAGAGTTGCTGCAATACATCAACTTTGGATCATCTGAGAGCATAACTGCGCCTTTAAAGCCCGTTCAGCTGGAGGAAAAGTTTCAGATTTACTTTTAAATCCACCCAAAGGCGTTTCTCTGCATAAAAAAAGGGTTACGCAACAGAAGCTGATATCTAAACAGCAAGGCTCGATTTGGGGAAGAACCGAAACAGAAAAAAGGCATATTTAAGTTTTAGAAGGAGCATCAGAAAGATGTCGAAACCTGATTACTCCGGGACTTATCATTTGGTGGAAATGGAGAATATGGACGCATATCTTGCAGCTTTGGGTATGATTTTCTTCATTATTTCACAGACATAGAAAACTAATCTAAAACACTAAACTGTTGATGCTTCAATCAGCTCTGCATGTTTGCTGCATGTTGCATGTGAGATAATCTATTAGGATAATGCTTTTTTCTGCAGGCTATCCTTATTCACAGGCAGCACTACATTAGTGGGATGAAATCTTGTCCTCTGGCTGACCCCACACTCACTCATTCACTTTGCTTTTATTCTTAAAGCTCTTCTGTTATAGCAACCATAGAAGTATCATTTAAAATCAAATGTCCCTCTCATCAGATATCAATATCGCCCTGAGGAAAATTGTGTGTCTGCTGAAGCCCACTAAGGAGATCACCCATGACCCAGCAACAGGAGCCATGAAGATTCGCACCCTCACCACTTTTAAGAACTTCAACATGGACTTCACCATCGGGAAAGAATTCACAGAGGACCTGGGACCTGTGGATGGCCGTACCTGCCAGGTGTGGGTCTGGGCATGCTCTTTGTTGCAGGACTTTGCTTTGTTTGTTCAATTCCCAAGGAGAATCATCCCACCTGCTCAGTGGCGGATCTAGACCAAATGTACCAGGGGGGCAGGAAGGGGCCAGAGTGTTTTCATGGGGGCACAGAAAAGCATGAAATAAAAAACAGAGCAAGGGATTCAAATATATTAAGAGAGCTGCATGAAGTGAAATTTCTATTCAATTAGCTTTAATAAAAAATCTATTTCTTATGAGGTCAATATACATTCATAGTTTAGGAATTTTACGTATTTTTTACTTAAGTTAAAATGACAAATTTCTATAAAATCTGAATTAGAACTCAAGAAAAACTGATAAATTCAGCTGTAAAATTTTGAGGTTTTTTTTTTTTTTGAAAAAAACAATTTGGCAGATAAAAACTGGGATCCTATCTCAATACCACTGAAACTATCACCTTATTGTTTTTAAATAATCGGTAAAACACAATTTGTAAAGAAAAATAATGTAATAGATCCAAAGGACCTATCAGTAACCATGTCTGTTCCAGCACATATCATTAAAATTTCTTTCAAGTATTATTTCTTCAGTACAGGGGCCAGGACATGATTTACAGGGGCACTGGCCCCCATTGGCCCCTCTCAAGAACCGCCCATGCACCTGCTGTTCTAACCACATGGCCCAGTTATAACTGAGTTATAACTCAGTAAAACTCCTTGATCCTCCTTAGGATTCAGAGCAACACAAAGCAGTGCCTAATTGTGGAGAGAAAGCAGGATGCATAACTTTCAGCGCTGTTACATTTCACTGGATATACAACTTTCATTTCTTTTTTTGAAGCATATCTCTTGTTGCAAATATCCTAACAAAATAATTTATAACTGAAGCTCAGACGAAGTGCTGCTGATAATCAATTTTCGAGTGTTTTAACAAATGTTCTGTTGTAGTTTATAGGCTAAACATTAACAAGGCCATTATAACACATGCATAAGCTCCAAAATAAAGCTTTCCATTGTAACTATGTGTTGAAAATCAGCCTTAGCATCCCTAACAGAATTTCTTCCAGGGCTGCCTTATATAATTCCCTACACCACAAAAGCACTAAATAGCTTCTCTGTCTTTACTGCTAAATATCTCAACCACAGCATGATGCAACCACCACAATTTTTAACAATAAAGGGCTGACTTTTGACACCTAAATCTTTTTTCAGGTTACAGAGTTTAATTTTGGTATCAATCTGACCAATGCCCACTTTACTAAATGGTGGCTGTGTCCGCTTCATGGCTCTTGGGAAACTTTAACTGGAGCTTTTATGATTTATTTGTCCCAACAGAGTGTTTTGTAGTGGGGGATATAATGTGCAAAATTTCTTTTTTTGCCATATAAAGTGTTTTATTCATTAAAGCAGTTAGAGCCTTACCCCAAAGCCCTGTAAACATGCACATTCAACTTTTCAGATTTCGATTTGCAAAAAACCATCTATCATTTTCCTTCTACTCCACATTTGTGTTGTTTTGTTACATAAAATCTTAATAAAGCACATAAACAGTTTTATAAACTGCCTTACTTCCAGAAGGAAAAAACTTGAATCAAACATTTCTTGACCATGTAAAGTGTTTGTAAATGGTTTTCTCTGACTTTTGTGCTGTTTGCAGACTACAGTGAGCTGGGAAGGAGACAAACTTATTTGCGTACAGAGAGGGGAGAAAGAAGGTCGAGGTTGGACCCACTGGCTGGAAGGCAACAAGCTCCATTTGGTGAGGATGAATGGGCTCTAGAGATGGGGGAGGGTTGGAGGAAGGAGGGAGACGGAACAAGGAAAGTTTGAGCCTGTAAGGGAAAAATTATGCTACAGTTGATATGGTTAATCAGGGAGGACATGCAAACGAGGGAATCATACATTGCTCCATTGTGCACCCATCCTTGCAGCAGAGATTTATTTTTCTCTAAATAGATTTCAGCTTTTGAGACATTTTAAACAACCAGCATTGTTTTGTTAATACCCTTGTTAGGGTGAGGACAATACAACCTGTTGTTGACGCTAAACTGGAGGGAATTGGAAAAGAAATGCCGGTGAGGATCAAGATTTAGGTTTGTGGGTTTTATAGGGAGAACTGGCAGGGGAAGGGAACAGTGTGGGGCTGACGATTTGTTCCAAAATGAGTGAGGGGGGAGGGCAGAAAAGATAAGTGCGCCTTGAAAGAAAGAGTGACGGATTGCTGGGTGAGAATACGAGGAGACACTGTGGAGAGAAAGGAGAGTTTGAAAACAATCCCAAGTTTGTGGGGTGTATTGCTCATTTAACTCTAACATGCCAAACTCTCTTACTGACCATTCCTAAACACTCCCTTTCCCATCTGTTCTCTGCAGGAAATGAGAGTTCAAGGCATCGTTGCTAAGCAAGTCTTCAAGAAGGTGGAATGAATTTGCTGCTGACGAGCTGCAGCACACAGCTCTCCTTTAAAGTAGTCGAACTGAATCATGTTTATAGCATTTTTATTCCAATCATAAACCTGTTCAAAGATCATAATAACACTAGAAGACATCTGTTCATTGTGGCAGGAATTATTCAAACACTAACAGCAAAGATGACTGCAAACATTCCCAGGTCGTTTCTGCTTATTGCACAATGTTTTAAGCAAACCTTACATGGGTCACAGTTTGCTTCTACATTATAAGATCATTAACAGATGAAATGACTTTGCGTGAAACTATTACTGCATTTTTTGTATTCTTTTACAAGTTATAAATACTAAAACTCTGCGGTTGAAATTTGGTGAAATCTGTTTGCATGATACAGTGATGTCTGTGAACCAACAAAAAATAAACAATAAAAGTTCAACTAGAAATCTTTAAATACAAATACAGCTTTGCCTCTAAACCTTAATAGGTTTTAATACTTATTTTTTGAAACGACACAAATTCAATCTTATTTTTCTCTAAGAAGCAATTTCTAAAACTTATATGATTAATTCATCCATCTTCTCCCGCTTAGTCCTTGTCAGGGTCGTGGTGGGGCGCGGTGTTTATCTCTGGCAGTCTGTAGACGAGAGGCGGGGTTCACCCTGGACAGGTCACCAGTCTGTCGCAGGGCAACACAGACACACAATCATGCACATGCACACACTAACACTTAAGCACATTGTATAGAATCCAATTAACCTAACAATCATGTTTTTGGAATGTGGGAGCATCCGGAGTACCCCGAGAGAACCCACGCATGCATAGGGAGAACATGCAAACTCCATGCACTCCATTCCTCTGGGCCAGAAATCGAACCAAAACCTTCTTTGTGCAAGGCAGCCCTGAAGTTTATATGATGTCTATGGGACATTAGTTAGATTAATTCATGAAGTGAGTTCAGGATTTTAGAAGCAAGGTTGTGTTAAAGTGTTATAGAGTTCATATCTTACATCAGCATTTAACTCTCTTGTTAAGTCAATATAAATCCTGATTAGCTGTACCTGAACTATGAAGCTAATGTCGGATCTAAAAAAACAAACAAAAATTTTTAGTTTCTTGTAAATAACTAAAATCTCTAAAGTGTCTGCAATTTTTTTAATGAAGTTAAACCATTGCAGATTTCTTTTGGATGGTAATTTACATAGAACTCGGTGACCATAAACACAAATAATTGTAGTTTTAAAAAAAAAATCCTTCTGTATAAAATGCTTACAGACAATAGAACAAGTTAAGGCTTTCCAGTCTGAATAGAAATACTGTTTAAAATTCAGTTAAGTGGCTTTTTTTAGTTAAAATGATTTGCCAACATGATGATTAAGGGCAGATGAGATTTTTTTGTTACCCAAAATGAAAAATGGTTGTTTAGAGGATCCACTCTAGTGGCTGTGTACAAGTTTTTGCAAGGATACATTTGCTACTTTAAATAGCTGATATATTACCTCCCGACAAAAAAGACAACTAAGCAAAAGTCTGCTTTTCCGTTTTTATTGACAACCTATTGAATACATCTTTCAGAAAAAAAAGCTAATCAGTATTTAGATGCAATGAAAAAGCCATGACTTCTCTGCCCAAGGTAAGATATTGCCTGTTTACCTATTTAGCAGAACAATTTTATTGACACGTGAAGTAAGGTGGGGATCAATGAATGGACTCAGAACAATTGCTGAAAATCTGTCATTGAGTTCAGGTTTGTCAGAAACTGCAGGGAACAAACTTACACAGATTCACTGATTGGTTTGTTTCTCTAAATCTAAAAAAACACCATCATGTTTAAGAGTTTGACATGTAGCCCTTTTTACAGTTTCCCTGCATCTTTGAAAACATCTTGTAGGTGATATTATTACAGTAAACTGTTGGAAAAAAATAAAACGAATATCATTCAGGGATTCGCCCATGTCCACACAGCTGTTTCTCATTTCTCAGAGTGCTATTGTGTGTTTGCAGTTCATCATCTGAATCAGCAGCGAACAGGGAAAGTTAAAGACAAAGACATATACAATCTATACAAGGCAGTGTTTTTTTTTAGCTAAAATAATCTGTTTATCCCTGTTCTGTAGAGCTTAATCTATCCTAAACTACAATTTCTGCTTTTTTTACTCACAATCAGCTGTTTTGAGAAATACTTCATTACATAATCTGAAGTTTTCACCCAAGTCCTGCAGGTGGCAGAAAACTATAAGTAATGCCAACCTAAACTGAAAGTAAAATATGCTCCATGTTTATAAACAGTCACTGCGATATTTCTTAGCCAGAAATGGCTCCATCAGTCGGTGTCCTTTTTCTGGCTGCTTTTAAAACCCCACCATTCATCCTCCTGGGGCTCAGAGGGAAAACTGAGGAAGTTTTTGGTGTAGTATTGTGTGGTGGATGTGTTGCAATCCGATTGCAGCGGGCATATGGTACAGCTGCTGACCAAGCTTTCATCTACGTTGATGATTCCAGGATTATCTGAGGAGGAAAACAGATTGATAGAATAAGAAAATACATCTGGTATAGAAGAAAACAGCCCGCTGAATACCATGAACCAGGATTTTTTTGGCACACTTAATATGACAAAGGGGGAACATCTGGACAGGGTTAATTTAAACTAAGCCAGGAGGAAGTAACAGTACAAAAACAACAAAACATTAATTTATAATTAATTAACTAATACATTATTAAGCTGTTGATTTATTTCAGTAACTGAATTCAGTACATGAAACACATGGTGCAGATTATTTAAACACAGACTGATATGTGTTAGACTTGATTTCTGATGAAAAGGAGGATTTTCTGCTTATTTACATTAACATTTACGATGAGAATATAACAAGACAAAAAAAAACAACAACAATTTTGGTAACGAGATATAAACTCAGTGTTCTAAATTAATAGCTGAATTATTTCTATAATCATAGAAATAATGTTCACATTTTAAATTCTATTTGCATGCTTTATATAGAAACATTAGGATGTGCTACATTTATCATTAAGTTGGCTTTTAGTAGTTTACTGCTTATAAAGCTAAAATGTAAAAGAAAAAAAATGATTAAATAATAGACGGTAACATTGTAAATGTTCCTCATTCTAAACTGGATATAACTACTATTAACACTCAATTATTTAAAAAAAAAAAAATACATTTTTAAGTAATTTGGCCAATAAATAGCAAATCTGACTTTTTTTTTTTAGGTGAAGAGAAACTGGAAAAATCAAATTTATTTTCAGAAATAACTTAAAGAGAGAAATTTGATTATTTGAGACGTATGATAATTTGTCAATAAATCTTGGTCTTTAATGTTTGTCTCATTGATAGATAATGCTCCACCCTGCAGTACATTGTTAGTGTAGTTTGTGATCAAACAAAGGACAAGGGTTTGACTCAGAGTCTCAGATTACAGAGCTAAAACAATAAACTGCAGGAATATAAGACTGAGCAAGTGTTATAAGTTTTATGGATGTATAGTAGACAAATATGTTGCAAATCATATTGATATTGTTCAAAAACGCAAAATTTCTCAGGTTATAAGGTACATTTTTTAATAACATAACTGTAAGAAGGTATTTAAAATACTTATAATAATTCAGCAATCTCATATCTAACATTTTTTTATTGGTATAATATTCTAAACTTAAATGACATGTTTTCATTTTGCTGTAATTAGAAAATAATACTAATAGTCAAAAATAAAGGCATGAAAAACATTATTTTTATCTACAGTATAAAATGTCTTACTCAGTGAAATGTGTTACAGAAATAAAATTATTTCTTTGAGTGTATACACGTATATGCCCCCCTTTTGTTTTTTTGTTTTACCTAAATCAGGCTGGGGTGATATGCAGACGCCGCAGCTGTCTTGGCAGTGAGACAGAAGCTCTGGTGGAGCAGGCTGTTTAGAAAAAATCTCCTCCATTTTAACATTGCCTGTAACAAAAAAAAAAAAAAACATAGACAAGTTAGCCTCAGACATTTCTATATAAAAAAAAACAAAAACAGATCAGATACTTTTAACTGCCACAAGCAGACTCTAGGAGGCAATATAAACGCAGTGATGAACTCGGCAGCACCATTAGTCACTTAGCTCCACACTAAACCTGAATAGTAGCAGCTCAGTTCACACATTTGTTCAGACAAAAAAGTGAAAGTGTTCAGGTTGTCAGATTGGCAACAGTTCTGACTTTCCTTTGAAAGTGATTTTAACTTCCATAGCAAACTAACTCTCTTTATCCAGACAATGCACTGTGTTAAAAATATCAAGTCATCACTCATCAAGCCCTCACAGTATTAACAAAGGGACTTCTGCACAAAACGTTGAAATCGTTTTAACTCAAAACTAAGCAGAGAAAGATATTAAAAGACACCAAATTGTTTCTGGATTTTTCTGCAACTTTTTACTGAGACAGAATCAGATTAATGGGTGTTTACTGACAGAAACTGGTTCTGTTTACGGGAACTTCACCCCTGACTTTCAGTCTGTGAGGTATACAGGGGCTTACATCCGGTGGTGAACCCCCCCCCCCCACCCCCCAAACTTACAGGCAATAAGCCTACACCTTATTGTCAATAAGGAAACCTTTTACACAGACTTCATGTAGTGGATTTTTTTGTATTCTTTACTTGTTGCGCTTTTTCTTTACGATGCAAATGACCTTATCTACCATAGATGTTAAATGTTCCAGAAGATTCATTCTTTCTTTTTTTATTTTCAAAAAGTCCTGAGGATGGTAGAGAAATGATTCAATACCTTGACTTCCCCTTTCTATGCTCAGCCCCTCATACAACATCAGTCAGCTTTCACCAACATCAGATATTACTTAGCTGAGCAGCTGAAGATCTTATTAATCTAACAACTTTTAACTTCTACCATTTGGTCTGGAAACAATGTGTAGCAACATAACTCATTCATGGTTTTCTCCACACACATAAACCTTACTCAAAACTGGGACTATGTCTTTGATGCAAATGCCCTGAAACTCCTTAAACTTCCGTCCTAATAAGGGTTTAGACTGTGCATTACCATAAATAAAAAATAGCTTTCTGTCTCTGATGACTCAATAGTCAACCGAAACTACACTTTTAGATGATTTCTGCAGCAACCACACCCTCCTCTTCCCTCATTCTGAATACAGACTCGTATTTCTGAGGTTTCATTTTTCAGGAACACTTTGGTCACATTTGACTCAAAACACCAGTCTCGCCCATTCATCATACAAAAATGGCAGCATTTGATGTGAAATTATCTCTAGCGTAACCCAGAGAGAAACACGACGCTGAGAAGCTATGACTCTCTGCTAGTTTAACAAAAGGATATTTTAATAGAGTGTCTGGTTTCATTGCGGGAAACCACTAAGACAAGGGTGTCACAGGAGGTATTCAATTAAAAACCTAATCACCCTTGAACGTAAGTATACTGTATGCCTAAGTCTATTGACACTTTAAGTAACAATGAATAAAACTTCAGAATAGATTAATATGTATTTTCTGCACTTTTATTTTATGCCAAAAGGTGTAGCAAAAACAAACAGTTGATTTCTGTTTACTTTTATCACTTAAACAAGGGATGAAAAGTCCAAATTTGTGAAATCATTGATCTGAGAAAAATCCACAATGTTGCAATTTCTGAAGAAGTCCTAAGAAAATGTAAATAATGTGCAGCTACAGTAAAATTTCCTTTAAGATGATCAGGGTGATTAAATTAGTTAACATTTCTCTTGTTTATAAATGTGGTATCACACAGGTATCCCTCAAATAACGATTTATTTTAGGCCTTTTTATCCATCCATCCATCCATCCATCCATCCATCCATCCATCCATCCATCCATCCATCCATCCATCCATCCATCCATCCATCCATCCATCCATCCATCCATCCATCCATCCATCCATCCATCCATCCATCCATCCATCCATCCATTTCACAATAATTTATGCATAAAATTAGCTATATACGATTGATTATACCTACGGTTCTATAGATTGTTGGAAATAAAGTTATTCATTTGTTCACTGATAATAACTTCCTGATAGCACATACCATATTTCTCTTGTTGCCAGAGAGCTAGCTATTCTGAATAATTACTTTTGGGGCCTTGAAAGTTTTTCAGTCCAGCATTGAAGGATAGATTGAGCAATTTGGACCGCCTGGGCATGTCTGCTCCCCATATGTGAGGGTAAGTGCAAAAGTGTCTTACAGCCAGTTGAGCGGTGCTGAAAAAGCATTAACATCAGGAGGTCTGAGGGGCTGACCAAAAAGATTTAACCGATTTTGCTTGGAGGCTTTTAGAAAGCCTTCTGAAAACACAAAATAAAGCAAACATGACTTGACAGTTATCAGGTCTTATTGTAAACATTTAGTGTCTGTCTAAGCATAACATATAGGATTGTTCTCTTCTTATATATATAGTTTAAGCAACATTGGAAATTAAACTATGCCTGATTAATTTGTTATACAAGAAAGATGGAAAATACATTTACAACCTCCATGCAGTACCTCCACAACCCAATATGGGGCGAAACTAAAGACTTAATATCTGTAACTTAATGACATTATTGCATTCACTGTATTTGGATTCAGATACATTATTTGTTTTTCATTTATTTTCTAAAAAGCAATCCTGAATATTAAAGAAACTTTAGTTTCTTTAATATCTTTTGGCTAGATTTTGTTTTGATGGTTGTCAGGAACTGCCTTCATGCATGAGCGGTTAGCTGCATTTGATTTGAGCAGGTGAACTTTCAGGTGACATCAAGGAGATATGTTTTTAGAGATGAAGAGTAAGTGGAAATTAATGTTTCCAGCATATGTAGGATGTACTGTATTCCGACACGTCATAATGTTCAGCTGCTAAATCAAGCTGAAATGTCTCAGATTAAAAACATAATTTAAAGATAAAACAAAAACACAGAACCATGAACCTGAAAAATATGTAATTCTCACAGATACTTTGCTGAAACAAACCCATGAAAACTAAAAATGCTAAAAGTTCAATCAACAAATAATGTATTTTCTGCATAGGTTGTTATAAATGATCAGTTTTCAGGTTTGATATTTTTAGGTAACATGTCTATAAATATCTATAAATCTCCAAAAACAGCTACAGCTGATTGCTCCAATAGTCTAATTTTCTCAGCAGACTGAGATGAAAACAGGGAGAAATTATACGAAGGGACTCCACAACATAAAAAAAATCTCTTATATTGATCTAAAGTTCGCTTATAATCAAAACTGTCTTTTTTTAAGGACAGCTAGGCCTGTGTTCATATACTTTTTTAATCTAACTTGAGCAAATGTGTTTTATTGGTTTTCCAAAAAAGTAAAAACACAAGTTAAAAACAAGTAAAAAGTGTGAAGGAAGCCATTTATGTTAAGAGAGAAAAAAAGCCTTGCCCCGACTCCCCTTTTTCAGAGGCATATAGTATTGTGTATTGCAGTCTAATAAAGATCGCAACAGCTCCCCATTCTTAAGAGGGGAACCTGTTCTTCCTGTACAATTTGCATGCCAAAACAAGACTTTGTTAGGGGTACTCTATAAAGCTTGGAATTCAACGCTAATTCTGACATTTTGAATAGAAAAAGCTACTTGGATGGGAAGCGAAACGTCTTCAAACTTGGAAACAAAGTCCAGTAGTTTGTTTTTTGACTTTTTTGAAATGACTATAACCTGGATGATTGAGAATCTTGCCCATCACATTTTATTGGTTTTAAATTTTCCTTTGTTGTATCTTAAAAAGTGTGTATTTATTTTGATTTAAAATCTTAACTAAAACTAATCGTCTAAGGATTGATATAAATGTGGGCAATACATTTAAGAATGCAAGGTTAATATATTTTATTGCAGCAATACAAAAAAATAAATAAATAAAGGATAAATAAATATTCATTTTTTGAAGACACTAAGATAATAAAATTCACATCTTGGCAAATTCTTCTTCAAAGAACAGAAGCTCTCAGTATCTCTTCAAACAAAACTGCCTGCTCTGACACAACACTGAGGAAATTTTGTTTTTCTGCAATTTCTCTTGAAACAACCTTTTGAAGAAGTGGACAGGAACATGTTTATTCATGTGGAGAACATAGATATGCAGAGATAAAGAAACAAGAAGTATGCACCAGTGAACTTTGTTACCAGCTGTACTTTTTGCATTGAATAGGAGCAGTGAATTAGATAAGATTCACGTTTATATTTCACACCACAGCAAAAGAAAATGTCAGATAAAGATTGGAGTCAGCCGAACATCATAGGCAACACAAGTGTGCCACATACGTAGGATTGACTTCTCAGTATGAGTTTGCTGCCTGTGAAGTGTGCGTCACGTTATGCCGAAGAACTATGTCAAGCTAAAACTGTACAGGATGTGGTTTTATCTACTGAGCTCATCATCCTTGTTTTCATTTTTAAAGACGTCAGGGTTTAGCTGCTTCTTTTGCTGGATCTGCTACTTTTATGCAAGATCTAAAAGAACCTAACTCAAACATCAAACACCAAAGACTTGTTAAAGTGAGAAAATTAACGATCAAAACGTGATTTACTTTAACCACTGCCCTTCAACTGCTTCAATCTCATAGTATTTATTGCAAAGGATGTAAATCCACTGTGTGAATATTGACTACAGAAAAAACATCAGTGCAGTTAATCCCATTTCAATGTGTTTTGTTTTACAAACCTGTTCTGTAGGATCTACGCTTTGTTCTCCATAAAAGGAAAGCTGCCACGACCACTATGGTCAACACGAATCCGGCCCACAGGCTTGCAGGCAGTACCCAGGAACAACCAGATGCTGAAAGAGAGTCAGATAAAGGGGATCCACATGCATATTAGTGATGCTTATGTTTACGCAACAATTTACGTCAGTGAAAAGGTTTGATTTTATGCTTTGGGCATAAAATGTCAGTAGGAAAGAGCTGATCTATTCTCATCATAATTTGATATTTCTAAGGGAGTTAATCATCAGCATCTGACAGAAATATAAACAATTAATGCCTTCTCACACCATGAAGTATCACTATTTTAATATAAAACAAACTACATACAAAGCACTCCCCAATAACTGCGTTGCATGTTAGATATAAAAACAGCCTTATTAACATCTTGCTATCAGCAGTTTTTACCTTTCTGTTTATATAATTGACTTAAGAGAGGAGAATTTCTAACTACTTGAAGAAATAAATCAAGCTTTTTGTTGCTTACTTGCTTAAGATAGGAATGTGAAGGGAAACAAATAAGATAAAAGCCCCAAATCGTAAGCGAAAGACAATATTCCAAGAATAAAGATAGATAATAGATAGAAAATAAAAGACAGACAATGGGGTAATAATGATAAGAATAAAATTGAAATATTGACGAATATCAAAAGGATATATATGAACAACACAGTTTAAATTACAATGTCATAACAACTTGTAACAGCTTTTGTCAAAGTAAATTAGCTGGAAACTTTATATTTTGGATTAAGATTTATCAAAATAAATTATTTCAGTTTTAGGTTATTAACTTCCAGAACAATTGATATGCAAAACATACCGAACGAGTTTGAGAAGAACGCTGCAGTTTTAGCATACCTCTTCTTCAAGGTATTACCTCTTATTCTAATTATTTTCTCTTAAAATCACAAAGCTGAATGGTAAGTAGTCATGGATTATTGGACTAACAAACTGAAATTTGACTTATTGAAAAGTTTGCACTAATGCAATCTTTGTTTAACCTTTTTAACTTTATTTATCTTTCATTTAAATCGGATCAAAGGCTGGGTCACAGAATGATTAGTTGCTGCAAACAGATGCTGAGTTTTTGTGCCTGACCAAACTTTTCATGTCAGAGACACCACTGGGAATGCTGCAGCAAATAAAAAAAAATTGAATGAGAACAACATCTGTAGCTAAAAACAGTGGTTTGAATGGAGGAATTACTTCTGGCCTGAAAACCAAAATAATCACCATTGTTATCTTCTATATTTGCTAACTAATCATTTATCTTATACCCCTTTCCCACTTTCTGAAAAACAGGTTTACTTGTCCATGTCTACGTGGGTCAAACGACTTGGCAAGGGACTCTGATTGGCATGCTGTGGGAACACCAGAACTGAGTTGACCCGGTAATTAATGTGATACCATTGACATACAGACGTCAAAACACTGAGCCTGCCCCGTCTGATCTAACAAGCCAAAACAACTCTGTTTACATTCGATAAACATGGTGGGAGAGATTCGGACAGAAAAAAGACCCAAACAGTAAAGCACACTGACTACACCCTGGCTTCCTTACATGTTGATCTCTATAGTTTAATTTCTGTTGCACTAGTGACATAATCAAAGCTAACTCAGCCTGATGGTATCACCAGACACATCCGCAGGGTGATAGAGGTCACACAGCTTGCCAGTGAGAGGTTAGAACCATCTTTTTTTGCCAGGAGGCAAACACTGATTGTTCGCGTGAAAAACATGCGTTAACCCAGTATTTTCAGTAGGAACGAGGGTTTATTAACAAAAGAAATAACATTTTTGTTTCAGTTGCCTAAAAAAAAAAACTATAAAATATATTGTATGAACTCCCAAAGACCTGTTTAAAAATCTCAAGTATGAAACCACTTTTGCAGTCCACTTGAAAATCTTAAAGTCAAATGTTTTTGAAGTAAATATGTGATATATTTTCTTGTGTTTTCAAGCACTTCCTTCAGCATCACTATGTTCACTTTACCAAAACTATGCAATATTGTGATGTTTAGATGTGAAGTCCTTGTAAGTTTTCCTTACCCAATTAATCAGATGAGTCTGGCAATGTTTTCATAAATCAGCTGGATAAAGCAGGTTGTTTATTTTATATTTCCATGTTTAGACTCAAATATATATTCTTAATTTTGAAGTTTATTTTGCTTCTGGGAAAGATGTTAAAGAAGCTCTTTAGAGCTCACAGTTGCTTATAAGCTTTTATACTTTTTACAAACTTATGATTTAAGAATAATCTTCTTGAAGCAGTTTATTGTCTGTTGATATGGCAGGTTGTTATGTTAGAATTAGAATCAGAATAACTTTGTCTCCCAGTCTAGAGTAACACTGCAGAGAGATGAGATTGAGTTTCAGTACAGCCAATCCAAAGTGACTCAAATTAATCCTTTATATCAACAGGAAGTCACTTAAAATATATGTTACATTATTTCTTTCATAAGAATCAAATAGCCCCAAACAGGGTTAAAAACATAATTAGTTGCAGAAAAGTGTGTAGCATAGCGTCTGGTTAAAATATCTTACAATGAAGGGAAATGACAGGTGATAATTGGGTACTTTTATGATTATTGTACAACATATTTCAATGAAAAATTTAATTAGCAGGGGAAATAAATTGATGCACAATGTTACCTGTTTTTAAAATAAATTGTTTGCAGCTTCAAAATTAAAGTAGAAAAGGATGAAAAGGAAAGATAAAAAATTAAGGTCAATAGACCAGAAACTACCCAAAAAAAGCATAATCTTAGTCATATTAGACATATAGAAGTCCATTATTTGAGACTACCAAAAATAAGAAATATATCAACACAGCAATCCTCTACGAGGACCATAGTAATATATAATGTAATGTATTTGAAGTTTAGCAATGAGCAAAAAAATACCCAAAGTTTTCCTAAAACGTGTGTTTTCACCCTGATTTTAAGGACTGTGTCTGTTGGTGTTATTGACCATGCAGAACACTTGTTTATCATGTTCGGTATCAGGAATTTAGTACACTAAAATACAGCAACGTGATTAATGCTTGAGCAACAGTTAGTCACAAATTTAGGAGACAGAAATAAGGTTTTTCCATTTAACAAAGTAGAAATGACTAAAGTAAAAAAGTCTTTTTGTGTTAAGAAGACTAAAATTTAGATGTGGTTGAAAATGGTTTGGGTTCATCAGATGGGTTTAGTGAAGCCTAAATTTTATTGTTTTGGCTTGTGCCAAACTGAGACAACTTATGCTAATAATAAAATAAAACTGTAATGCATGTTTATGACTACATATCAACAACAATTGCTCGTCCATATTTATCTATAAAAAGGAAATCGTTGGAGAATGTAAAGTGCTTTGGATTGATGTATATACAAGGGGTCACCATTAGTTACTATGATGTACCTTGCAGGTAAGATAAAGTTGAAGAATTCAACCCCTGTCAATCTGAAATTATTCGTCTCAACAACAGTTGAAGTTAAGTTTATCCCTAAAACACTGATCAGTAATTAACCAACCATTCACAGCCTGATATAGGAATTCACACTTTTCAGAGGCTTGTTTTCCAAAGAAACGCTGTGAAACCAGCAAACCACAACATCACGTCACCTAAAATTGAAAAGAAAACTAAGCAACCAAGCAATATGTTTCACCTTTTTACCACTAAGAATATTAGCTAAGTATTCACACTTATTCTTTAAATGTGATTTCATACCTTAGCTAATTACATTAAGAATGATATGCCTTAACCTCCTGTAAGAAAAAATCAAACTGCAGATGCTGCATAAAATGGTTTCCTTTCTGTGTCACTTCCACTTCCTCTCCTAATTCAAGCTCAGCCGGGTTCTAGAGAGTCGCATCCGCTAAACCCCACAAGATAATATTCTCAGTTATGCGAGATGAATAATAATGCACCAAATGCTTAAATGTCAAGAGTTACACCTACGAGATTTGGAGTGACAAATGGCATCAGCTTTTGGGGTTCCTGGAGTCTTCACCTGTCCACTGTCACATCTGAAAAGGATAGATCAGAAATTAATAATTTATTAACAGTTTGAGTTTGTGACCCAGAGACTTATTACTAAGGTATTGATATGTGACTGATCCACTCACACTTAACCACTAGATATTCAGATTCATTAATATGAGATGCAAAAAAAAATGGAGTCAGACTTGCCTGGTGTACTGTTTACAGGGGGAGAAGTAATCTGTGACATTGCTAAAGGTCCCATTTCCACATGGAGCACAGACTGTGTCACTTTTTGAAGTAGCTGCAAAAATAAAAAAAGCTGAAGGCAGATTTGTTTTATATATATATATATATATATATATATATATATATATATATATATATATATATATATATATATATATATATATATATATATATATATATATATATATATATATATATATATATATATATATACACTGTGATGAGAAGCCGTGCAAGAAACCAAGCAGCTTATGCAACTTACGTTGATTTTTGACTCCTTCACCCACAGGGCACTTGGTCCAGTCCTCGCAGTGCTCCGACAGCGAGTAGAAACCTGACTTACACTCACAAACTGTGTCCCTCTCAGTGGTGCAGTTACTAATCTTCTGTATGTTTGTAGCTGTAAAGTTAAAAAATAGAGATTATCTCTTGTTATCTTGTGATTTGAAGGTGTTAAAAGTTGTCTGCATGACTGTGGCTGGGTGGGTGGGTTACAGTTCAAACTGTCTTTACTACCACCCACACTACACATCTAAAAATTTTCACCAGTCAGATTCACACTGTAGATACTTTCAAATTAGCTTAAACAAAAAATGTTCCACTGCTGCTTTAGAATCTGTACTTCTATTAAAAACATTTTTGTGTAAGACTGCTTGCAACGTCACAGAGTTAATAGGTTTTTCTGTTTGTTGTCATATTTTAATATTTTAGGTCACTCAATAAAGTAGTTTTCAAACGATGATTTAATTTATAAACAGAAGCTTTTTACCCTTTGAATTCACTTTGGTTAACCATATTTTAGTTAAAATGAACCAGCTACATCCAGGATGTAAGTTAACAAATGTTAACTAACTATTTAAGTTAGCAAACAATTTTTATAGAACTTGTCTGACCGCATAGTAAACTCAGAGGTCACAAGAAGCTGCACATAAGAAGTCAACCTCAAAGATAAGAGTTTCTAGAACAGATTAGGAGCAAAGTCCTTCGCTTCCCCAAGTCTGGAAAAGGTTAAACAGGTAACCATAATTAGAGCATTTATCCACAAATGGAGAAGACACGGATCAGAAATGACTCTGAGAGCATCATTGACTCATTCAAGGGGTTAAAAAAGAGGCCAAAACACCAACTGAAGAACTCCAGATCTTGGTTGCTGAAGGTCAAAGTTCATGATTCAATAATAAATGAAAGAAACTGGAGAAAGATTGTGCCCATGGTAGAGCTCCAAGGGGAAGAGTACTGCCAGAGAGAAACAGGACTTTGATAGTTCCCAAGACCTCTGGGAATAATTGAGACAGCAAGGATATAAGGGAAAGGTGAGCACACTGTAATACCTGCAGTGGTCTAATGGTCTAAGGCTGCTTTTATGTTTCAGGACAACTTGCTTTAAATTTGGAAATCATGCATTTTATCCTCAAGTAAAAAATCATGAAAATGACAGTCCTGGCCTCCATTCATGAAAAAAACAATATCTTCAAAATTGAATAAATTAAAGGTTTTGGACAAGGGTATAGTCAAAGTCTGGTATTGAATGGGATTTAGATGCAGTTATTTGTACTTTAACAAGTGGTTGATGCACAAAAACTATCAATGTGACCCATTAAAGCAAACCGCAAAGAACAGTGGTTAGAAATTCCTCCCCAGCTATCTAATTTTCTCAGGATCTCTTTGTTGATATTTAAATCAGTTTAATGATCTGAAACAATACCTGTGACAAAAACAGGAAATTTATAATGTGGCCAAACACTTTTATTCCCAGCGCAGTGAGCTGAGCTTGCAAAATAATTAGCACAGCTCAATAAAAATAGAGCAATGGGAACAGCAGGGAAAAATGATTCACTCATCTGCTGTTCTGTTACTGAACATGTGTGACCGACCACAGGTTTACAGAGGAGGGCAGAGTACCACAGAATTTTACTCAACTAAGAGTAACACCACTTCATATGTTTACTCAAGTAAATTTAAAAAGTAGTCATCCAAGAAAGTAGGAGTAAAAAAGTATTTAGTAAAAAGGCTATAGAAGCACTGAGGTACTCATCATAAAATCTGATTTACTGTTTCAATTTTTTCAATAAGACAAACCGAAATATAGTTCTGTCCAAAGTGTGTTATTTCAAAGGCTTCAAGAAAATAATAAAAATAAATGAATACTATAATTAAAAAATAGCAAAGGTTCTGTTTGTCATAGAAGTTATGACACCACTCCTGACAGTTGGTAATGTAGACCTGGCAGAACCATATGAAGTACGTTCACTGACAGTATTTACTTGTTATTTTAAATGAGCTTGACCTCCAAACTTTTCAGGGAAGGTTCATCCTAAGCAAGCTTGTGTACAAAAAGAAAAGCTCATTCTAACATGACGTATTAACTGTGTGTGTTTATGGAGCATCTATAGTTTAAAACAAGGCTTGCTCATTTTCCATTGACCTTACTAACAGTGGACAGAGTAGCTAAACATTTTTGCAAATTCTAAGAGTAGTGACATTTTCTAAAGGTTTTACATTAGTAAAAATATGGTGCAGTAAAAGTACTTTTTGTCAAAAAGTTACTCAAGTAAATGTAACTGAGTGAATGTAACTGGTTACTACTCACCTCTGCATTTTGTACACTTAATACATTGTTTGAGGTTGTTCCAATCCTCTGTGAACGTCCCTTCGGGACAAGAGCTACAGATTGTAGAATTTGTTTTATTGCAGTCTTCCTTTACGAATTTTCCTGAGAAGCAAGATTTAAAATAAAAAAAAGGGATACATTCTTTCGTAGAGCAATTTCTCTAAAAAGAGAACATTTAAAAAAGATTGAGATGTTTACTGACCTGCAGGACATTTGTCACAGCATTTCCCATCTTTAAAATACTGCCTCTCATTGTTGCAATCCTTATTTGCCATTAGTCTGCGTTTGATCACAGCCTTTAAGTTGTTTGCAGAAGTTCAAGCCTTCAGTTTCCCTTTACACTCTCTGATTAAACTCCAGCTCTGTTTACTATGAAACACGCTCTTCTCTCTTTCTCGTATGATTTGGCTTTGGCAGCAGATTTCTTTTCCCTCCTCACTTTTTCTGATCCTACACAATGGAAAGCCCCACTGACCCTCATCTGCTGTTTTCCCCTCCGCTTTTACGTCTCTGTGAGGCGGACCTCGTTTCCTTCCTGTACCAGCTCTCTGTCTCTCTGGAGGCTTGAACTCTGTCTGTTTCCGCAGCTATAAAACCAAAGGCGCACTTTCTGCTGAACCCTTTTTGTAACTGAGACATTTCCTCCCCCGGTTCACCCTCTCCTTCATTGTTTGAAATAAACCGTCATTAAAGCACTTCTGTAACACTGCAGATGTAAAACAAGTTGTTCTTGTTCCAGGTTAGAGAAATGAGTCTCTTGAATGATTGGTTAGTCCTGTTGATCAAGAAAAGATTTCCCAGGTAACTTAATGTTTGCAGATTTAATTTGATATCTCTTGTTCTGTGCCCTGCTTGTTTTACTGTCACTAAATCATGAACATTAACAAAAGTACCAATGCAACTTTGTCTTCCTCTTTTGAAAAACAATGACTGTATACATATTACAAGAAAATAACTTTATATTTCCCCCAGATTTTTTAATACAAGGAGAACCAAAGTCAAATACCTCACGTGTGCACAAACTTTCAAATTAAGCTTGTTTTTGAATTTGGCTGAGAGAAATAAAGTCTGTAAAAAGAATGCTTTCAGTCCTGAATAATTCCTCTGTAATAAAGCATTACAGAGCTGAGGGGCATAGTAACAAAATCCTGGCTCACTTTGTTTAGTTCTGGTACTGGGAACACTAGTTAGCAGGTCTCCAAAGAGCTGAGAAGTCTACATCGTTCCTTCTTAAGAAATTGCTCAATTTGTTTTGAGCCAATTATACTGATTTCTTCATAGACCAGCAGCAGGATTTTGAAATCAATCCTTTTATCCCACCAACAATCTGTTCAGCAGATTGCTTACATTTTTTGTCTCCAGAATGCTGCTGCAAACAACACATGGATTATATCACACATATTCTTATCCTTCTACACCTACTCCCTGTTTATTAATTTGACTCTATAACCCAGAGATGGTTAGAATGAGACAAACTGAATTTGAATGACTTTAAAAAGTTCTATTCATATATGTCTTTTAGCTTTCTTTCTTGCTTTTCATCTTTAGCTACCAGTCATCTAATGAAATCATTATTCCAATAAAAACACCTGTGCCTTCATCACCCACACCGCTCAGGTGTGGCTCACCTCTGCCACTGCATTCTCACAGAAGCACATTTGGGTGTGTGTCTGTGTGTGGATTGATGGATGGATGCAATGCTTGCAAAGTCTCAGCATCATTAAATGTTTCTCCATAATGTCTCTCTGAGGTTAGCTGCATCCCAAAACTTAAAAATACCTGCTTAAAATTTTCCAGACTGATAGATTTTTGACTTTATTTCAATCTATTTGCTCAATGTGTTGGTTTTTCAGATTATTTAGCCCTTGCTAAGTTAGCAAACATATTCTTCATAAGTTGTTTCTTGATGCCACAAGTTTACAAATAATCAGGCCTGGACCAGATTTAACTCAGATCATAGCTGATTTGTAATTTAACACGGTATGCAGACAAAATCCTAAATCAATCATTGCTTTTTTTGTGTTTACACAGATATATAGTGGTTATTATTCTCTTTCCCAGCAATTTGCACACATGATTGTACACAAATAGATTCATAAATGCTTACGGTTGCAGCTTATAACTTAGAGAGGAAGAAGGAAAGCAGGAGGGGGAGAGAAGAGAGAATAAATAATGTTAAAAAAGAGGGAAGGAGAAATGCAGAGAGTTCATAAGAGGAGAGATTTGATCGGCTTATGATGTTCAGACTAAGGTGGGGCTGGATTTTTGCATTTTTTTAAACGAATATAATTTAATGCTAAAATCAGTAGTTTAATTGTCTGCTTTAGTGTCTTATTTTTGCGTGAAATTATAGAGGAGATATGTTAGCTATGTTAAAAAGACTAGTTTTACTTGATTTTGACTTGTCAGCACTTTTAAATTATTTTATTTATTGCTTTCTGCTAAATTATGTGAATCTTAAGGCCATCTTCATTGTCTGTTGTGATATTTAACCATTTATTTGTGTGAATGTGTACACTATTGTTTTGAATGATGCATAAGATTCATATGGCATAAGTCCATATGAATCATTAAGTCTGTTCCTGTGAACAAACCTTTGCATAGAAGATGGTGATTTATCATGGAGGTCACTATTACACTGACCTGTGTCAACTTTTATTGTAGTTACATGGATCTATAGGGTAAGTAGGATGTGGCATGGTACCAAGCTTCACTGAGCTCCCAGTAAACGCTCTATATTTTGTAGATACTCAGTTAGCAACAGTTTTTAGTTCTTCTTTTTCTTTTTTTCTTTTTTTTTTTTTACAAAGTACATTACCAAGCCCTGTGGTGTCTGTTGGTTTGGTTTAACACTTCCCAAAATTAAGTTTTTCTTTGTAACTGACATGCCAACATGAAATTCATAACAGTTCTTCTTAAAATGCCTTACAGCTTAAAGATTAAAGATTGTGTTCTTTATAACAGATGTCTTTAGTAAAATGTAACTGATCAAGTAATTTCCAAATTTCAGCAGTTTGTAAACAGGAACTATTTTACAGTTTTTAAAGTCTTCTAAACTTTACATGGAGCCATTGGAAACAAAGTGCATTTCATTTCTAGAATAGAATAAAATAGAATTGAAAATCCCTTTATTGTCCCATAATGGGTAAATTCAGCAAAATTAAAAGAGGTAGTTTATATTTTGAGCATAATAAAGCTGTATTTTCTGCTTATTAACCTTGCTGAAGTAATTTGATAGTGAAGCATTAATGAAGAACACATAAAAAGATCTGTTAAATCAACCGGTTGGAGCTAAATTGCTAATTTATGAGTCTCAGATTGAATATCTTGATATTTTTACAGATTCAGCTTAAAGATTGTGAACAAGGACAGTATGAGTAACATGCATCATTTTGGTTTATGTGTAGATACAGCTTCAGCTCCTCTCTTCATCTTATAAACCTACAGCATGTATGTCTGAACAATTCTTTGGTCAGAGTATAGTGAACTCTGATGTAGTATTTAAAAAGTAAAGGATCAAAGTAAAACCTCAAAAAAGATGGACCATACCTCCACATTTGTACACAATGGTATTATAATAGTTTTTTTGTCTTATACCTTTGTATCTGTTTTAACTTTTTTTTTTTTTTTTTTTTTTTTTTTTTTTTTTTTTTACTTAGCCTTGTTTTTTGCACTGATAATGTGAACCATGGATAACTCCTGGGGACACCTAAAGAAATGCTAAGCCAGGACACAAGACTGCATTAAGAAAAACTTGGGTTGGGGGTGGTGTGAATGTGTTTTTGGGCTTTTACAGTGAATTTCTCCAGTTGCTTATATATAATAATATCCTCTTTGTAATTTTAACATAAGTGTTCTATAAAAACAAATTTCTTTCAGTCTCTTTCTCCTTCTGCTGCCCTGCTCCTCATATTCCATCCTATTGGGATGGGTGGAGTCTCCTGGGTATCCAATGGGCTATTTGCCTCATGCCAGTTTAAACTGGAGCAGGTGTGCCCCCAAAGGTCAAACCATTTCCATCAGACTGATCCACCTGGACTTGGAGAACAGCCAAGACTGTGAAAACGATGCTGTGAAGGTCAGGCTTGATTTAAAAAAACTAGGGATGCACGATATTGGGATTTTGGCCGATATCCGATATGGGGATATTTTAAAACTCATGTAGCCGATATCGATACTGATGTTAAAGCTGGACAAAAATAAGTAGTCATTGAAAATAGCAGTTTTGTTATCCATTTCTGACACTTTGAAAAATAATATACTCAAATATATATTCATATGCTGATATCAAATTGATTTTTAAAAACGCGGTATCGATGTATTTTACTTTCAAAATCTCGGGAAATTTCATCGTTCTGTTACAAACTCTCGTGATATTTAGCAAATTCTTTTGAGATTTTGGTAGATCGATACCGCGTCAATATATCAACATATAAAAATATGGCAAAATGTCGTGAATTTTCGGGGGATTTCGTAGCATAACGATGACATATAGCAATATTTCATTAGTAAAAGAGATTGATATGGTGTTTTTAAATGGCAATATATCAGCATATGAAGATATTGTGATATTTTAATGTATCAATATTTTTTCCCTCGTCTTTAGAAGTTTTTAAGTCTGTAAAAAATAAGTTTTTGAGGAAGAAGAAGAAGTATTTATTTATTTTTTTTTTTAGACGTTAGAAACTGAGAAGCTGATCAAATATCAGGTTAAATATCGGTGGGGTGGCCAATGTCCGATATTAAGTTTTAAGGCCGAAACAGGCTGATACCGATAGGGGGCCGATTATATTGTGTATCCCTAAAAAAACCCATTTGCTCTCATATCTTTTTACAGTAAAGTGGAGTGAATCCTAAATATTTTTCCTCTCCCGTGTTTACACCCAGATCTTTTCAAACGGGAACCTGATAGATGTTTTGTGCGGGAAGAAGGAATATGAGGAGCTTCAGGAGATGGTGAATCCATTGTTGTTCTCTTCCCCCGGTGGCTGCCTCACACTTTTGTTTCACTCAGACTATTCCAATACCAAGAGACACACCGGCTTCAGAGGATTTTATACGCTTCAAGGTGAGACCCTGCAGAGAAAAATCGGCAATATATGACAATCCAGGAGGGTGAACTTTAGCCAACTCTGTAGTTTCACATTCAGCAGAAACTTATAGCTTTCTTCATGTCTAGTGCAGACATCCTGTTTACCTTTTTCAGAAGAAGGTCATATTTATTTTTAGACAACAAGAATTGGCAGCCAAAACACAATTGGGGAAGATTTTTATTTTTTCAATTTTATGTTTTTTTTTTTGTTTGTTTTTTTTTTTATATCAGTATATCAATACTTTAATGCAGGGAGGGGAATGATTGTTTACATCTTTCCTTACAAGATTCAATATTTTTGTAATTTTCTTCTGGGTCTGCCTTTTACAGTATTCAATCTTTAAGTAATATTTAATATTTTTGAAATATTATCAAAAAGATTATATATTTCAGTAATTAATTAAAACACAATATATAGATGAATCACACACAGACTGAGGGTTTCAATCTTTCTCCCTGTTAATCATGGTGATTTCACTCTTACATATATTAGAAATATGACAATATACTTTTACATTAGACCAATAAAAAAAAAAAAAAAATATATATATATATATATATATATATATATATATATATATATATATATATATATTTTCCTACAGGGCCCTTAATGACAAGTATTTTGATACTTGCTTATAGGGGGTTATTTTCAACATGTAAGTTTTAATTGTAAAACTATATTGAGATTAAGGTGAGATTGTTATTTAGAATTTAGGTAGTAATCAGATCTAATTTGCTTATTAATGGTTAATTAACAAGGTAGTCAATTTCGCCTTTTCTATAAAGCTCTTTTTTTCACCTTGTAAACTCAGGTTACTTCTGTCAGCTAACTATATGTACTTCTTTCTATTCTTTCTAAGGGAAAGAGACAGAGAAACAGAGCAGGAGTCTTTGCATAATATTTGTACCGGTCAGACATTTTATTGCAAAACATTAACTAAAGTTGTATGCAATTTGGATTTTATTATGTGTAAGTCATGCAAATCATGAAATAATTAGGCTTAACATGGTTTCAGATTAGGCAGAATGGTAAGGGCTTTTTCCTCACCCGTAGCATATCCTTTGAAATATCCATTTGAAATTGTTTTAAAGCTGCTAAATCAGTTATAGACAGTTTGTAATCTTTGGCACATTTACATGTTTGTTAAATTAAAACATAACATTTGGAAAATGAAATACAAACAGACAGCAAAGATGTTAATCTTTACCAGTGCTGTGACGATGGAAAATACAGGAAGCTATTTAATAATATAGGGATAAAAACTAAACAAAATTTTTAACATTTAATATCTGTTTTTTCTCATGCAGAACCTAAACATAGAAAATGGTGAAACTCCTTTTTATACTTTTACAGACTCTAAAACCAGATTATGAACCAGTTCCAAAGGGATGCGATAACTTCACCCTTACCTAAAATATATGATTTATATGATTTTTCAAATCTTTTTTTTTTTTTACTTTGAAGACTTCAACGAGTGTGAAGACCAAAACAACGAATGTACTCATTTCTGTCACAATTTCATCGGAGGATGCCACTGTTCCTGTCGCCATGGTTACTACCTCGCCGAGGACAATCACACTTGTACGGGTAAGGGAAAAGAAATATTTTAACTCGTTCCTGGTAGGTTACACATAAAAATCACGAAGGACCAAACTGAAACATGAAGTGAAACTTGGGAATTGGAGAAGCTGAACTGATCAGTCAGGAAGAAAAGGAGACAGATTTTTTTTTTTCTATTTGAATCATGCCACAGAAATCATGTGGAAGTCACTAATGAATTAATCTAATCCTAACACAGTGAGCTGTAATGAGGATCTGTCTGGCTTGAAAAGAGGTGAAATATCCAGCCCTTCCTGGCCTGGGACTTATGCTGAAAATGCCAACTGTAAATACAGCCTCTCTGTGGAGGAGCATCTTCAGCTGGAGCTGCACTTCTCTGAGGATTTCGATGTGGAGCAAAGTTCTGATGGTCCTTGTATAGATGAACTAAAAGTAAGAATGCATTCTCTGCTCTCACAAAAACTCATCTTTACAACATCCATTTTGTACAACGAAAATAAAAAAATAGGAAGCTGTGACTGAAGTGTTGAAAGCTACTGTATGAATCAGTTAACATCCTGTTTTTAAAATGTTATAGCATGTTTGTGTTTGATATGTGTTTTATTTAAGTAGTTTCCTGTCTGTTTTTAATGTCATAACACTGTTGATTCACAGATTATGAAACAACATATACACCTATTTAAGTATCTACACTCCTTCCACCATTCTATATTTAATGAAATTACAACCACAAACTTTTATGTATTTTATTCAGGTTGTACAGTATGTGATATCCTACAAAACATAGTGCACGCCTGCACAATGGAAGAAAAAATGTACAAAATTACAAATAATTACAAATAAAACAGAAAAGTAAAGTGAGCCTTTCTGTTCATCCCTTGAGTTCATATTTAGTAGAATCAATTCCCTAAAATTGAAGATGCAAGACTTGTAAGTTTTTGTCTCTACAAGCTTTAAAAGAGACTGGATGTTTTGCCTATAAATGCTGCTATATGTTTATGCTGCTGGAGGACGTAATGACCATTTTTTACCCATTCTGCTACATCTTCTTACTACTCTCCAATTTTAGATCATTTGACATTTTGGCTGTATTTCTAGTGTTTTTTTTCTCCTTACAGCGTCTAGATTTGGCCTGATGTTCTGTTCAGCTCTGACATCATCCTAGATGGGCATTAAGTAGGCTGCTACTGTGGCGCACTTCATGTTCTCTTACCATCAGTCTTTTATTGGTTAACTTTTTCTTTCCCCACAACGTAGCAGTAGCCTGAGTTTTTTTGCCTCAAACTACATGTGTGCTTTACTCCTGGCATTAACTTTTCCTTTCTTTCACATTGAAAGAACTCCTGAATCTGTGCCTCTGGTTCTTTTTGTGTTTACTCTTTCTTCTTAAATCTCCACACAGACATGGCAGAGGGATGTTAACTTTGAGCCAGGTTCTCCTGAAAATCTTTTTTTTTTCCTCTCCAAGGAGGGATTGCTGAAAAGTCAATACACACATGGAAGCAACCGTCCACTGTCGCGACATGCTCATCCTAGTAGAGGGAGCTCTTAAAATCAGTGACTTGCTGCAAATCTGTTAGGTTTTTGATAAAAAGAAACATTTAAATTGTTCGTCTCTATTACTTGACTAACTTTACTATGTAAAGTAACTTAAGATGACCTGCTGTGAATTGGTGTTTTATAAACAAACTGAAATTGATTTAATAAGCTCAAACTCAGTCAGAACGAATAGAGAACATCTGTAAACATCATTTTAAGTCCTGCCACAAATTTTATGTTAAATTTAGATCAGGACTTTGACAGGGCCTTTCTTGATATGAATTTAAAATAATGGCATCATAACTCTTGTTGTATGTAAGGGGTCTTATCCTGTAAAAGCCTTGGTCCAGTGTCAAGCCTTATACAGCCTCAAACACGCTCAATCTAACCATTAACTTTGGCCAGCTTCTCTTTCTCTGCTAGAGAAAAGCAACCCTAAAGCAGAATTCTGCAAAAACAATTTTATATCAGGAAGTTGTAAGTGGATACAGTGTGTCTTTTGTTTTTAACCACTTCTAGTGTTTTGCACATAGGCCACATAGTTCCATTTTGGTTGCATATGATCAGAGGACTTGGTCAAATACATTGCTACATCTGTCTGTCAACAGTAATCATCACATTAATTGATATTTAATGTGATGTCTTATGGTGAAAGTTTGGACCAGATTGTATTTAGGGTACAAAAAACAACAACAAAAAAAGAATATTTCTTCCTTTTCACAGGAATGCACTTCATTGGGTTGGTCTATCACAAAAAAATCCCGAAAAAGATAATGAAGCTTTAAATATTTGCAGTCAACTGTATTAAAACTAAGTAAACCCCCTTAAAATCAGTCCTTTTATTCAATGAACGTTAGCTTTCTTTTACATGCACTCAGGCAACCTTTTTGAAAAGCTATGCACCGTTGACCATGCTCCTGTGGTAAAAAAAAATGATACCAATAACACATAAAGCTTTTCAAGATGTCCACCAGTTCACAATTCATTGCTTTGCATGCATTTTGAAAGAAACTATATAACAAACAATACTTTATACTTAAACATGCTGAAGATGACCTCCATTGAATTAACCTTTTGTGTTCTGAATACATTAAACTTATATGAATTTTGAAATTACATTTTATTCATTCATTACAGCTACCCTAGTTCCTCTCTATAAAAACATTAAATGATGAAAATATGGTGGTAATTTAATGAGCAAATAAAAAATATAATTGTTTACAACATAAAGCATCTTCTCTACACCTAGTATGATTTTAACAATGGAGCAAAATGTTATTTCTTCAAAGTGGAGTCAAACTAATTTTCTAACCATCTGAGGTTTTGTCAATTTTAAGTTAAAGAACAACTCTTCTTGGACAGACACATGCCTTAAGTGGTGTGGCACAGAAGGATACTGTGGTTACATTGAGGTCTAAAAAAGAAAAAAACCCACAACTGTTTACCAGTAAAGACCCCCATACCATCACACCTCCGCCTCCACGTCTTACACAGGCAACCGCATATTCAGATATCACCAGGTCTTCCTTTGTATACCTCACAAAACAAGGGAGCCGAAACTTTGATACTTCCGACCAAAGTCCAGATTTACAGTAGTTTGCTATACAAGCACTAAGTTTTTATTTGTCTCCAGCAGCTCCATCTTGAAGGACTCCGTTATATGGTTTCACTTAGATCAGTGACGCTATATATAACATGGCTTCATCAATAGATATCATGCTTGATTTACTTTTGATAGTCCTTCCTGTCTGCATATTTCAGCAGCATCTTATATTTAAAAACAACTTGTGTTTATGTGTTCGGCAGATTGAAACCTACTCTGAGACCCTGGGTCCATTCTGTGGTAACAAACCTCCCCCATCTCCTCTTCTCACTCATTCGAGCCAGATCCAAATCGATTTCACCTCTGATGGGTTTGGGACAAACAAGGGCTTTAAGTTAAACTTCAAGACCAGAGGTAATGTAGTCCGTCTTCCATAGCGTACAAAAGATGATCTCTACACTTGTTCCAGGAAAATGATCAGAATTGCTGTTCTTGCCTTCAGATAAGGTCTGTCGATCAGTCGTGACCTCAAACTCCAACGTGACTCCTCTGAAGGAAGAGTATCACCGGGGCGAATCGGTGACTGTTAAATGTCTACTTGGCTATGCTGTAAATTCAGTGAGTACTTAAAAAGGTTTGTAGTAATATATGAAAAACCTAAACCAACAGTAATTAAAGTTTTCCTTTTGCAAACCAGGAGGAAATTGAGGGTATGTTAACAGAGTATGAGACCACCTGCCAGAGCACAGGTGTATGGATGCCAAGCTACCCCTGTGAAAGTGAGTGCAACTTAAAAAAATCAGTGTCTTTTTTGCACATTTTTAACCAATCACATTATTACCTGTTTATTCTTGTTTTCCACTTTAGTTGTAGATTGTGGTTTACCGGATATTAAAGACCACAGCCTTCTTCAGGTGGTGAATCCAGACGACAAGGACACCAAGTATAATAGCCAGATCACCTTTCACTGCAGCTCACAATACTACACACTGGAAGGAGATGGTGATTATATCAATCTGCCACATTGTTTTAACTGCTGTTACTTTTTAACCACATGCTTTCTAAAATGTTTCAGATACGTACACTTGTAATGCCAATGGTGAGTGGGTATCAGTGGACGGCGGGGCAGAGTTACCAAAATGCAAAGAAGGTAAGTTATACACACCTAAATTTTTAAATATGAAATAATTTACTTCATGTTACTGACAACTTATGTTCATTTCAGTGTGTGGGATGCCTCAAAAAGAATTGTTAAATGCAGGAAGAATACTGGGAGGAAATAATGCAAAACTAGGAGAAATACCTTGGCAGCTTTTGATAAAATATCCAACTAGAGGAGGAGCATCACTGATAAATGATCAGTGGGCCGTCACGGCTGCACATGTTGTGGAAGGGCAACATAAAGATGCTTTTGTAATCTATGGTGGACTGGTAAATGCAAGAAATTCTGATATATTGCCTCGCATTCCAATCGATAAAATTATCCTGCATCCTGGCTATAGTACAATTTCTTCATCTACAACACCAAAAAATTATGATAATGATATTGCTCTGATAAAATTCTCATCCAAAGTGAATCTTGGCCCAAACCTTCTTCCCATTTGCCTCCCAGAGGTAAACAGGGGCGTGAATGAAAATGAACAAGGCACAGTGTCTGGATGGGGGGCTACAATAAGAGGAGGTAGAAACAGGACCATATCTCCACACTTACAGTATGTCAGCATTCCTGTTAACTCTCTCACTGAGTGTATGGATACACCTCTTTCAAACTCTAACGAAGCTATGACCTTTACCAATAATATGTTCTGTGCAGGAGAAAAAGGGAAGGACAGCTGCCATGGAGACAGTGGAGGTCCATTTATTGTACCCATGCTGTCTTCAGGGGGGCCATATTATCTGATTGGCATTGTGTCCTGGGGAGAAAACTGTCTGGGAGGTGATATAAAGGGAAAAAAAAAAGGTTATTACACCAAGGTGGAGAATTATGTAAACTGGATTAAAACAACAATCCAGGACAACTGAACACAGCTGAGAATAAAACGGTTTTGTTCAGTCAAAATCAATCAATAAAAATCACTTAACTTGTACTGATTATTTTATTACTTCATTTTCCAAATTAACAGATCTTCACCAACTCTTGAAATCAAATATTTGAATATTAATAGGAAATCAAACCAATTAAACTGGAAGCATATGCAGTGGAAAATATTTACGTTTAAAGGAAGTGTTCACATATCATCTGCAGACATTGTCCTTTTTTGAAAGTTAACATGTTTTGCTAATGTGTTATGGTGTGCAGTATGTAAGTAGATGTTAGTATAAATGGTTTTGCATAATGTAAAGAGCTAATTTTTAAATCATTTTAACTCCATACGTCATTCTCCAAATCTATATATCAACTATGATCAAAATCAAATATACTTTGTAATATGTATTAGTGTTGCATATTGCACAGACTCATTTAGCTAATAAATGCTAATAAACAATCATATTTGTGTTGTTGTTTTTTATGTAGTAAATTAACTGCTTTGTATTTCTTACTGCCTAAGCATTAGGTAAATTGACTGGTTTTGGGGTAACTTAAAATGTTTAACATTGGGGTATCAAAACCAGCTATAGTTTCCTGTCACAATGTGTGTTTAAAAGTAATCTTATGGGAAACAGAGTAACAGAATGCTTACCCCTTCCTAGAATGGTGTTGCACACTGCTGGTTAGATTGATGAAAGAAGGCTACTACTTGTTCATTTTGCAAAGTTATATGTTCAATGTACATCCCAGTAGGGGTGGGACATATTTAATTTAATGAAACAGTATTCAAACTCCTGCATCTTGGTTCAGTTTGTAGCACTGTTGTGTTTCAGCCAGAGGGTTTTGGGCACGATTCTCGCCCCGAGGTCTTTTTGCATGGTGCTTGCATGTTCTCCCAGTGCATGTGTGGGTTCTCACAAAAACAAGACCGTTCAGTTAATTTGCTTCTCTAAGGTGTGAGTGTGCATGGTTGTGTGTGTGTGTGTGTCTCCATGTTGCCCTGAGAAAGACTGCCGACCTATCAGGAGTGTACCTTGCCTCTTGCCCATAGGCAGCCGGAGATAGGCAGGGGCCCTGCTGCGACCCTGATGGAATGAGAAAATGGATATTTCAACTGTCATATATTGTTCTGTGAACAATATTGTTGTGTGAACACACACACACAACTTTCTGTGTGTTAGGGCAACAAATGAAAGTGTGAATCGAGCTCAAATCATGGTCAAACAGATAACTCTGCACAAATATGGAATGCATTCACCACACCTTCCATTCAGTTACATGAGTTTATTGACAAAAATCACGCCAAGTCAAACATATTAGTCAAAAACTTGACTTAACTAAACTAAGCTACTATGTACACACAGAAAACAAAACACATGGTTGAAACCATAATCAATAGAATAAAGCAATAATATTATGGTTAGGCATTGATTTAATGTTGAGAACCAAAGTTTATCATATATAATTTGAAATGCTGTAAAACAAACTTTTTACTAATGTAGACCAATTCACAATGCAAATCAAAGGAGGTAAATAAAACATTATTTGGAAAAATAATGTTTTAATAAATGATTTGCTTAACCAGAAACCAATAACGGTTCGTTAATTGATTCTTAACCTTCTTTATTGAGCTAGTAGCTAGCAGACATGAGGGGACTCATCTTAAAATACTCTTTGGTCTTATTTTGGTAATTGTGATGAGCATATGAGAAAACACATGAACATTAATGTTATGTTAGTGTTTTAACCCTTTGTAAAATGATTTTTTTTTTTATCTTTATAAACAACAACTCAAAGCATGTCAGTGTGGTGTACAATGTGGCTCAAAATGTTAGCTTTTCTTACACTGCAAGAAACACATAAAGTGATCAAAAAACACCAAAAACCACAAATTATTTTGGCAAAGATCTCTTTCCCTAATTGTACCAGATCTCCATTGTAGAAAGGACTGAGTAGTTTGCAGTATTCAGCTTCACATGTCAGGAGATATGTGTTTAATTCTATTTCAAAAAACATGACGTTGGAATCCTTTAAAAATTATGATAAATGGCTTGTATATATTTATATAGTACTTTTAAAACTCAGAGGACTCCAAAGTGCTGTATTCACACACAGACATTCACACACTGATGGTGGTAAGCTACATTGTAGCTACAGCTGCCCTGGGACTCACTGACAAAAACAAGGCTGCCATTCAATTTGCATCACTGGTTACTTCAGCTACCAATAACAGGTAAGGCGGGTATCGTGCCAAATGGGACAACAATGGAGAAAGGGTTCGAGAAGGTGCTTAAACCAACTGCTCAACTGCAGCACAAACCCCTACGTCCTGTTACAGTATTTTGTGATGTCAAATATTTCACTGACATTTGAACAGTTTACAACTTATAAAACATGCAGACATCTAATAAATGAGTTTACCGCACAGACCTTTAAAGGCTGTAAGATTTAACTTTTGTATCTCATCTAAAACATGGCTTAAACTAAAGCATTTGAACCCTGAAAACTTGTATAGCTACACTGCAAAGCAAGCATTATGTTTTCTTCCTCCTTTTAAACAGTTAAAAGCTGTTAGCTTAAATTTATTTAATGGTTTTAGTTAATTTAATTAATGCAATTGAAATCATTAAACTAAGAAGAAAAAATTTTAATAACTCTGTTGCAGCACATTATACAAAACCTAAATCTTTACAAGCTCCCTAAATGGAAGGGCAAAGCTGGAAAAAAGGCAAGTACTTCCTCTAGTGGTTAGAATAATTATTGCAACTGGTGAAGGTGCTAAACAGGGATAATTCACAATTAAAGAATAGCAAGAAAAAAACTAAAATGACATAAATCATTAAAACTGACAATTTCCCATCCAATTCCATTTGTGTTATTTATTAAACATTATTTGCCCCTCCCTGTATTTCAAAGTCAAACATGTATTTGATTTTGCCAAGACAAACAAGGCATATTCCTGGCATTAACGCGATGAGTTGCTACACAACTGAAAGAGGAGCCTTTATCACATTAATGGTTCACTTGTATCTGGGACTTGTGCTGGTGCACAGCTAGATTAATTCAGGCATGCATGTATTCAATTCCAGGGTTGTTTGGGCGTCTCTTATATTATGGTGAGTTCATGTTTTGTTTCTTTTTTGTTGTCGTTGTTTTGTTTTTGTTTTTTTGTTTTTTACTTATCATGGGGAAATCAAACAGTTTTAATCTAACTTCCTCTAATATGATTCTAAACGTCTAAAAAGAATGCAAATTCCTGAACTTATGAATGTATTTTAAAATATATTTGACACACGAATGAATAAGCATATTTCAATAGGCAGATGATTCTTTGGTATGTGATATGGTCATATGTATCTTTTGCACTTTAGTCAGTTTAGGCTCTGTGTTTGCTCTTTTCTGTTTGAATCGACTTTGGACCAGTAGCTCAAATCAAAACAGACTGATAAACAGATCAAACTTGTTTATGCACCTTTCAGGTTTCAACATGTTCTGGTCTGTGAGTGTGTCCCGCTGCCAGACTCAGAACCCCCGATGCATGGAGCAGTCCAGTCCCCCCAGTATCCACAGCCCTATCCCCCCAACCTCCAGAAGCAGTGGGACCTTAGTGTGCCAGAGGGCTTCCAGATCAGCCTGACCTTCACACACCTGGACATCGAGGCCTCTACAGGCTGCTACTACGATTCAATTACTGTCAGAGCTATATAATGTTATCACATCTTTCCACTTTATAGTTTGTAAAATATGCTACATTTTTAGGAACCCAAAGGTTTGACTCTAGCAGTCAAATTAGATTTGACTGTTAGATCTAGATAAAATTAGATTTATTAAATGTATGCAAAGATTGGGTTTATCAAGCTATTTTTTAAGGATACTGACCAAATGGCTTTATATAAGGATTATAACTAATATTTTATTAATTTCAATCTTTAATTATAATAGGAGCAATTCAGACTTTTACTTTTTTTTCTTTTCTAGAAAACAAGGTAAAATCAACTTATAAATGAATTGAATTCATACAATCCGTCCGCTAATTACTTTTTATTTACACTGTAGTGTTTCTTCATTATGTTTAGGATCTTTTCCTTGCAGGTTCTATATGATGAAAAGCTGCTCAGAAAGTTCTGTGGCAACGAGAACTCTGCTGATGGAAATCACCCCGGTTACCAGCCCATTTTATCTCCAGGAAACAGACTCACTCTGATATTCCAGTCAGATGAGTACAATCCGGATCTTCACCAGAATGTGGGATTCTCCGCTAAATACCAAGCAATAGGTGCCTTTGAAAAATGTCCTTTCACACATGCCAAATAAAAATGATCTTGAATCGAAAACATCCCACATAATGTTTTTTCATTCTTGTCATCAGACATAGATGAATGCTCTGCACCAGAACCTTTGGATGGATCGGGTCCGCTCTGCTCTCAGATCTGCCTCAACACACTGGGATCCTATCTGTGTGCCTGTCACCATGGCTACGAGCTGCGTTCAGACCAGCGTACCTGCGCCTGTAAGTTTATGGGTAAACTTATTGTGGGTAAATCAAAAATTTATCTTGATGCATTTTGAATTGTGATCAGAAATACATCATAATTGAATGCTGGATCTGTTTCTTAAAGTAATGGCAAGGTGCCACCGCTTTCCACCTTGAATTTAAACAATGAGTAAATGGATGCAAATAACACTAGAAATGATTTTTTTTGTTTTTTCTGAAGTATATTAATAAAATAATTTCTGGTTTAATTGGTTTAAAGAAGAAAGAGTTGAAGTTGCAATCCCATACATGCCATTCATTGTCACATTTTGTATAATGATCAGCCTAAAGTAATACGTCATTGCCAAGTGAAGGCAATTGTCATTTTATCAATATCATTATGCAGTCTTTAAAAAAATAAAAATATACTATTTCAGCTTTAATTCTTTATTGCAAAATGTCAATTTTATAATCATATGTTTTCAAATAGACTCACAGTAGATCCTGTTTTTGACTCAATCCTTTTTATTTATGAATAGGATTTCATTTCAACCCCTCTATTGTAATGTTGGCTGTAACCTTTTTCGAAGCCTCAATAAAACCTCTCTTTAAGCATTGCCCAATATTTAGCTCCATCTATCTTCTAATGAACTCTGACCACCTTCCCTGTAATTTACCAAGCATTACTTCATAAGGCTGCCACCTCTATGTTTTGCAGGGCTTCTGTATAAAGAAAGTCATTCAACGTTTGTATTTTGCCTGCTACCAAAAGTTCAGTTTCACATTTCCATTTGTCATATAGATGGCTAGTGGAAAACCAAAACAGATAAAATTTCATGTAATTTTTTTTCAATAGAGATTTTAATGTAAGAAAATGTGAAAAAATTTCAATGAATATTTATGCTAATGCAAGGAACTGCATGAACACTTTCCTTTCTTTTTGTCCAGTATCCTGTAGCAGCGGAGTATTTAATGAAGTAGAAGGGCACCTGTTTAGTCCAGGTTACCCGAACCCCTCGCCACATGCTTTGTCTTGTCAGTACATTATATCAGTGGAGCCTGGCTTCTCTGTCTCTCTTAACTTCTCGGATAAGTTTCACATTGAGAGTGTGGACACGGAGGAAGGCCCAAACTGTCTCCATCACTGGCTGGAGGTAACAGGAAACAGCTTAAATCATGTGTAGTGACATTAAAGGTATAGTGGAGGATTTTTGAGAGTTTTTTAAAAGACCCGATCTTTTCACTTTAAAAAAATGCACATGCACAACTGTACCTGTACCTACTCCTGAGAGGATAAAGGGTTGAGCACATGTTTGATAGAGTGCCTATTAAACGCATGTGAGAGCATGCACAAGCCCATTACTCCTTGTGCACGCTCTTTTTAAAACTCTAACACCTAAATCCCTCAATCTCTATATAGAGTGGGGACTATAGTGAACTCAGTTAACTTACCGTTCGGACAGATGATCACTGCTTTTTGCTCCCTGTTGGTCATATAACTCCTCCTCCACTGCGTGGTGCCTACACCATCTTTGTTATTAGTACCCGACAGCGGGCCGCTGTGACAGCAAATCCCATAATGCTTTTCAAGGAGAGCTCTCCATGTGAAGCATTCAGGGATATATATCTGCATTTTTGATGCCTTTCTTTTCTTATACACTTCGTAGACACTTTTTCTCTTATGACCCTTAGCCATTTTCAAAAAACTGCGTAGAGAAAGGTGTGCTTCAGTGACTGGCTGAAACCACAGATATACGCCTGAAAGTGCACATGCGCAAAGAAAAAGATAGCTAACATGATGTGCAAGTAGGACTGCCTTCCGTAAACGTATCACCAGAATGACTGACAATTAGAGGGACCGCTTATTTAGATGATCTACCCGGAAAAAAAAGATCGTCCTCTGTACCTTTAATGACAGTAGATATGACTATAACATTTAAATATTTGATTAAAACCTGACCTTCTTTTTCTTTGAGGTGAGCATCCCTAACAGAGAGTCTATGAGGCTGTGTGGGGGGAAAAGCCCAGGACTGATTAACACAAACTCCAACACTGTCACGCTGAACTACCACATTGATGATCAGGGCCGAAGCAATGGATGGAGCCTGGACTACAGCACATCCAGTGAGGAGGGGGGGGGGGGGGGGGGGGGGGGGGGGGGGGTCAAAGGAATATTAGACTATTAAAAGGTTGAATGTATGGCTGATAACACATATTTATGCTTTCACATCAGGAGTAAAGTGTCCAGTTCCTGGTAAAGTAGCTCGAGGAAAGGTCACTCCTTCCTTAACTGAATACTTCTACAGAGATCCCATCTATGTGCGCTGTGAACAAGGATACAAACTAATGGCGGTAGGCTTGGAAATATTTTCCTGTTTTTTAATTGTAGTATTGCATTGTTTTAACAAAATGTGTCCTACTTTTTTGGGGTCAGAATGGTCAGGAGATAGAGAGCTTCTCTGCTGTGTGCCAAAGTAGCGGAGATTGGCACCTCCCACTGCCAGAATGCCACAGTATGTTAGCATCAAGCTTATACAAGGCGGATCTGAAGCCATTGAATTTAACAATTTCAACAATCAAATTCTGAACATTTTCTTGCTAACAAAATACTAAATCTTTTTTTTTTTTCTCTGCCAGTTATTGATTGTGGAGAACCTGAGCGTCTGTTAAATGGGGGAGTAACTTTCCTGTCTGGCTTCCAGAATCAGTATCTGTCTAAAGTTCAGTATCACTGCAATGAACCATTTTATTCTCCATTTGGTGGCAGTAATGGTAAGATGTTTTATATGAGGAATTTTTCACTGATTCTGCACTAACTTTAGAGATAGAGATAAACAATGTGTATATTTTCACTGGTAACAAATCTTCAAGAGGTTGCACCGCTTTTGTCAGGAATTTTTTATGAAAGTTCTTTATTATACTGTTTTATTTTGCATACAGTGCAAATCAATTTAACATTAATAAACATTTTTGTAGATGTAGTTTCCTCTAATTTATTTGCTAGTCTAAACAGTATTGTACAGATGTGGCTTTTTCAACAAATAGAAATGCATTTTTAAGGCAGTTAATCAACATAGTGTAGAGTGGTTGACATACACCAAGGAAGCTGTATTTCTCTTTTGGCTGTGTGTGAGCTTGGTCACCATAAAAGACTATGTATGGTGTTTGCTAATCCTAAACACATATAATGTGACAAATTAGTAACTTTAAAGGTAAAGTAGGTGATTTTTGGTGAATTTTTTTAAAAGACCAGCCCTCTCCACTTTAAAAAAATGCACATGCACAACCCTGTACCTGCTCCTGAGAGGGAATGCCTATCAAACACGTGCGAGAGTATGCAGGAGCCCATTTTTCCTTGTGCACGCTCTGTTTAAAAGTTCTCCTATATAAAGATCAGAGCATCTTTAGATAAACCAAACAACCTCTCCACAGACGCATGGCTCAACACAGAAGAGCAGCCTCCTCTGGACAAAACGCCGCAGTACATCTACACCTTGTGGACAAAGGACATTCTTTTGAGGACCAGAATGTTCACATTCTGGATAAAGAAAATAGGTTGTTTGAGAGGGGCATGAAGGAAGCCATCTATGTAAAGAGAGAAAAAACAACTTTAAACAGAGTTGGTGGACTCAGATTCCAGCTTCCAAAAACTTACAATTCAGTTATAGAGATGATCCCTTCCAGATATCACCACAACCCCGTCATAGAGGAACAAAGTACCTCCTCTCTTTAGGCGGTGAACAATTCCTTCATACGACCGACCTTCAGAATCATAGACAGGTTTCAGATATTACAGGCTAACAATGGAACCAAACGACCCACTCGTCGGTTTCCATTTGCATGTTTTTAAGCAATACAAGGCCTTGTCTCTATAAAGACTCATCTTACTGCTGATCCAGACATTTGAATTGAGAAAGCTTCCTGGAGGGGAAGCGAAACGTCTTCAAACCTTGGAAACCAAGTCCAGTGGATTGTTTTTTAGACTTTTACGGAATATCACCAGAATGATTGACAATTAGGAGGACCACTTATTTTGATGATCCACCTAGAAAAAGAACATCCTCCACTATACCTTTAAGAGAATATTGTGCAAACAGTAACAAATTTTCTTATATGTTTTATTTGAAGACCAAACATGGAAAAATAGCTTTGATAATAATTTTTTGTATTTGCTTTATTTTGCTTAGTTACACTCATCTGTGAGGCAGATCGACAGTGGAGGTCCAACCAAGAGGTTATTTTAAAACCAGTATGCCTACCAGGTATTACAGTTTGTCTTTCATAACTTCAGTGAACACCTTGATCTCTTTTTATCTTCTTTATTACTATGAGTATATATCCTATGCAGTTTGTGGTCGACCAACAAAGCACTTTAATAACTATCAGAGAATCATTGGAGGAGCGGATGCTCCAGAGGACACTATTCCCTGGCAAGCTCTAATACGTGTAGGATCAGGCAAGGGAGGGGGTATGATCATAGCTGATCGCTGGATTTTGACTGCAGCTCATGTGGTTGTTACTGATGGGAAAGTAGCAACACCTGAGTCTGTAAAAGTAAGTAGTCCCCTATAAAGTTCTACATTTCCACTGACATGTAAATTAAAAAAATATATATTTTTCTTTTTTTTTTTAGATTTACCTTGGACATACTGATGTTGTCTGGATTCAAGAAACACCTTCACTAAATGTGACTGCAATCCATGTTCATCCTGAATACCATAACCCAGGATTAAACTTTGACAATGATATTGCACTGATACAGGTGCAAGAACCAGTCACCTTCAAAGCATCAATAATGCCTCTGTGTTTGCCAGCAAAAGATGATGAATATGAGGATACAATAATGGGGTAAGGAAACAGCAGCAAATACTCACAAGAAAAATATATTTTTTTACATACTGTAACTGATCTTTTGTGGTGCAAACCTTTTACTTTTTCAGGATGGTTTCTGGGTTTGGGCTTACATCAAAAGGTAATAAGACGTATCAAACACAAAAGCTGAAGTACGTGCATATTCCAGTGATGCCTCAGGAGGAATGCAGAGATTCTTTGAAGAGACAGTCCAATGCACCAATACTGACAGACAACATGTTCTGTGCTGGAGCTCCTGAAGGTGGGAAAGACTCTTGCCACGGTGACAGTGGGGGTGCCTTCACTCTACAATCTGCAGATGGTCGATTTTGGGCTGCAGGGATTGTCAGCTGGGGGCTTACCGGTAGATGTGGAAAGAAAGGAAATTATGGATTTTATACCAAAGTAGCAAACTATGTAGACTGGATTAACAAGATCATGCAGGAGAACTAAAAAAAAAAAAGCAATTACAGTTGAAGCTATTTGTAAGATATAAGCAAAACATCTCAATAAAGCCATTAAAAGACAGTTAGATTATCATAAACTATAAATAAAAAGTTCTAATAATTACTTAACATGTTGATTGTTCTTGAATGATTTGAAGGTTGTATTTGAATGCAAAAACTTTGTTATGTTAATATGAATAAATTGGTATAATACATATTTTTCCGTCTTTTACTTATATACACCATTGTGATGCCCTTATTATATAGTTTCTTAAAAATTGGGTTGCAAAGTGACTGAGTGGTAAGTACCATCTTATGCAGGAAAAAGAAAAACACATAGGCACGGATTCACCAGAGATATCGTGGCTTCCTTTAAGAAAGAGAACTGTTAAGTCAATTTTTCTCTTTAAACCAACAAACAAACCAACCAACCAACCAACCAACCAACCAACCAACCATCTCACAAAAAAACCAGCTAATCAACTTTCCAACAAATCAGCTAACAGGTAACTAACTAACTAACTAACTAACTAACTAACTAACTAACTAACTAACTAACTAACTAACTAACTAACTAACTAACTAACTAACTAACTAACTAACTAACTAACTAACTAACTAACTAACGTTTTACAGGTATATTAATGTTTAACAATGTGCTTGGAAGATGGTTTAGATGGATTTTTAGCTTCAACCTATAAAAAACAATGCTCAGATTTGTTGATTTAACTCATCTGTTTTGTTTGCATTGCCTCAAGCTGGAAAAACCTTATACAGTAGAATTATTTGGTAATTTCAAATAAAACTACTTTTCTGCAACAAAAAAAGAGGCTAACTTTACATAATTCATTGTTTCACACTGTAATGTAGGAGATTAAATGTTGTTATAAAAGGAGTCAAGAGAGCATGAGGAAATGTCATCAGTCATCAGTCTTCTTCGTGATGGCGTTGCCTTCTGACCCTGAATTCATGGATGTACCTGTATTTTTCCACAAATCAAAAATATGATCTGGTTACCTTGCAAGATGAAATGTTGTGAGATTTAAATAAAAAAAAAAAAAAACTCCTGGGAATACCGTTTACAGTTCAAATTCTGGTTTATGCCAAGTAAAAAAAAATCGAGGTGTAGATCAAATATTTTAGAACCATGTTGCACAGCATGGTTTGAATACAACAAACTTTGAGGTTTAGACACAATTCCATGAAAAATGTTGATAAAATTCTGAAGTTTGTAAAATTGAACAAAAATTTTCTAAGTTTGAAACCAGAAACCTTTTTAATATTTTTCATTTAAAGCAAGAGTAACAATTAAAAATATTCTGTTTTCATATGTCTAATATTGTTAAGAATACCTGTATGAAATGTTACCATAGTAACCCATGACTCTATCTGCACCGCTCTCTGATTGGTTGAAGCTTTTGCGCGTGCTTTCATTTTCCATAAGGTTTTGCGCTCTGCGCATGTCCAATGCAGATCCTATCTGCGCACCTCTACTCCTTCCGAGTCTAACTTTATATTTTATGACAGCTAAAAATGTCTAGTTAATGATTGGCACAGATGAGGCGAAGAATCGGTCCAAAATCTATCCTGTGCGTTAGAAAGCCACCATCATTATGACGCGTTTATAGCTTGGTGAAATCAAAAGTGAAAGCGTTGTGGTGCATTCTTTCTTTCATTTTTTCAGCTAAAAGTATACGGATCTTTTCCTCCTTGACGATGATTAAAATATTATTTTTCGGATGCTTTTTGACGTTCGTTAATGGTAAGATAACTCATACTAATGTCAGTGTTTGCTAGTGGCTCGGTTGCAGCAATTAAAAGTTGAATCTTACAGCTTATCATATCCACGTTTTTATTAAGTAGCCTATTCCTTATTAAAAATATCTGAAAACGATCTTAACTGTAAGAATATTATTGTGAGTTTGAAGAGAAAAAGAAAACTGTTATTTCTTAGTGTAAACTTGCGTTTTCATCTGAAGATTAATACTAAAAAGGTGTGTAAAAAGAAGCAATGACTAAAAAAAAAACAATAAAATACTATATTTGTAAAAAAAAAATGTACAAATTAGGAAATGCAAATATGCACAAAACCCATTTTCACATCCCAGTTAAATGCCCATGTAAAAAATATACAATCAAATAATCTTTACAAGAGAGAAATGTTGCTTCCTGACAGTCATCAATGACCAAACAAATAAAAAATAAAAAGGGAGCATCTTCTTCACAGGTGTGACAGCAATTAAGATTTTGTCCTTACATTTTATCTGTTGAACAGGACAAATGTCTATTTTAAGATACACAGAGGCCAGCCGCTTTTAAACCTGCCCAAAAGGGTAAATAGGAGGCCAAATCACTTTCAAAAGGTGACAGAGAGTAATGTGTAAAAGAATCTATACAGGACCATAAAGCAGTGGGATAAATGTGTCTGGTATGACTAATTATATTTTCTTTAACATCCAGTTGATGGATTGGTGCTTGTTCACCTGAAAACAATGCACCTTTAGTGGAGAAAGAAATTAGACACTGGAGTTCTGCAGGGAAACCTTTGATCCTGAAATCTGTGGGTTATTGATATGTGCACCACCTGACAAAGTATTTTGCAGTAGTTGCATGTTCACTGTAGCCTCTCTTAGAAATATCATAAGCTTTTTCTTTGAAAAGTGGGTTTAAGAATTGTTTAAGAAGAACATAACAGTATTTGAGAATCTGACTTGGCTTCAACATTTTGCAGATTTCAATCCAATGGAGCATCAGTGATAAAAAAAAAAAGTCTGATCCATGGAAGAAGTTTTCATGTTTATCTCTTTCTAGTTTCATTTTACCATCAAATAAGATAATTATTTGATAATTTACTTCATCAAAGTAAACAATTTTATGAGCCTCTGAGAAATTGTTTTTCTTCACATTGTCTTCCAGCTGATGGCTTCGCTGATGTAGTTCTCTCCTGCTCTCTGGTGGAGGAGGGAACAGGACTGGGAGGAATGGGAGGTGGCGCTCTCTTCTCCCGAACTCCTGCCACTCTGGTCCTTCGAGATGTTCCTGTGGGGCCCGAGGAATCACTTGACACGCTAACTCCATTTGTTCCCCCCTCCATCCCTGATCCCGATCTCCTCCTGTTTGAGAACAAAGGTGCTCCTTTTAGTTCTGAAATTATTAATCGGTGTAAATGCAGCACAGTTTGTGAACCCGTCTCATTCTATTTCGGCAGTATCCTCGCCTGAGATCCCCAATGCTGCCCTGTTGCTCCATGCAGACTGTAACGAGCAGGAGGTGATGTGTGAGATAAGTCGTTACACTCCTCGAGGACTTCCGGAAAGTTCTGATCCAGCATATTTCATGGTTTCTCTGAGTGTGGAGGGACTCGACTTCAGCATGTCACTCATTCTTCAAACACTACCAGTTGATAAATATGAGCAGACCTTGACGCAAAACAAGCTCAGTTTACCTCTCAGCCAATCAGGAACTCTGCTAACTAAAGGTAAATTACAAAGGTCAATGTTGCGTTTAACAAGGAAAAGCATCCAGATTTTTTTTCTCTTTGTAAAAAAACTTAATTTATACTAAAATTTCCCCTGCTTTCATTGCCTTCTTGGACTGTAGTGATATTCCTGGTATTCTCCGACATCAATTCTGTTTCTGCTCCCCTGAGAGGAGAAGTTCTCCTCCACTGCGGGTTCAAGCAGGAGGAAGCAACATTAGCACCAGAAGTTGGCCTTGAATGGCGTCTACAGCACAGAGGGATAGGCAGGAAAGTGCTTGAGATGAAGTCAAGGCTAGATGACACAGAAGGGGCCCCAGTGGGTGAGTGTTATAAAGAGTAAACAACAGAATTGAATGTTTTATGTGCAACACAGCCCCCCCCAATGGATTTAGGTGAGATATATTATATATATATTATATATTATATTCAGTTTGTATAGCCTACTAAAAATCATATATTATAAGGTGCATGAATAAGAAACTTACTGAGATAAAGATAATGTAAAATATCTTAAAGGAAATATAAACTAGGTAGCTTTATCTCACTCAAAACTCTCTACAGTACAGTCAATAGTACTGTTGCCTTGCAGCAGGAAGTTGCTTTGTCCAAATCCCAGCTTGGGATCTCCTGCATGGAGTCTGAAGGTTCTCCTCCATGGATCTGTAAGTTTCCCTAAGGTAGGCCTTCTTAGGTTTTTCTCACAGTCCAAAAACATGCAGGCAAAGCCGCCCTACAGCACCTGTAAGCATGTATATGCCTTGCATCTCACTCCCCTACTGGAGATGGTCACCTGCAACCATGCCAACTTTAATCAGCTATAAAAATCACAGGATATTTGAATATACTGCAGTATAACCGGGGCTTATGTTTAAAAGTTTAAGATAAGCATGCAGGTGTTGAGGCAGAACCCTTACTATGATCTTTACTGTAGCTGTGAAGCTGCAAATTGTATCAAATTGAATTCATCTTTCAGTCACCTTACACAACATTTCAAAAAGGCAAAAATGTGAAAATCCTTTTGTTTTACTTTCACATACAAAAAAAGAATACTACTTAATAACATATTTCCTTTTAAAGTGGCATCCGGCAGCCACCATAACAACTGGAAGGCAGTAATCAGAGTAAGGAGAATATTACTATATGACTTTCTGTGTTTAGTTCATGGTGAGAGAAAAGGCTCTATGGTGGATACTGCTCAGGTCCTCAGTGAGGGGAATGTCTCCATGAGTCTGACGGAGCTGAAGGTTGTAGATGAAGGAACCTACATCTGTACAGTCAATCTGGGTCCTTTTCATGCCCAGCAGGTCATCCAGCTCCGTATCAATCGTAAGTTTATCTCTAATCTGATCTTACCATCATTTTAAGCATCCATGCTTTCTTTTGTTTACTGTATACCTTTTCCACTTGTTGATTTTCTTCCCAGAACCACCACAGGTTTCTCTGTCGGAGGAGAAGTTAGTCTTAAAAAAAACTCCACAGACGTTGAGCTGTCACTGTGCTAAATACTATCCATTAGATGCAGAGGTTAGTAAATGTGTTTTTACACACAGCTGCCTTTTAGAATAGCCATGAGCATTTATTTATTAGGAGAGAAACATACAATGTTATTAAAGTAAATTAGGTTGAAAGTATTAGATATTAGGTAATATGAATTCTTCTGTTGTCTTCGCTTTAAATGGTAAATTCTTTCAATGTTTTATTTATCTTAACAGTTTTGTTGAGGATTTTCGCTAATTTTTTAAAAGAAGCCCCCTCTACACTTAAAAAAAAGGCAATTGCACAACCCTGTACCTGCTCACGAGAGAGAACACCTGTTAAGCGTGCGAGAGCGTTCACAAGGCCATTTCTCCTTGTGCACGCTCTGTTTAAAAGTTGCTGTTGTCATAGCTTATACAAACTTACTGTGTCCGAACGTCTGCATTGACGACCCTTGGCCATTTTCAAAGAACCGTGGTGAGAAAGGTGAGCTTCAATGACTGTCTGAAAGCATCGCTCACCACAAATATACACCTGAAAGTGATTATGACCAGAAAAAGATAGCTAATGGGGCGAGCACGTAGGATGGCCTTATGTAAACACATCACCAGAATGATTGACAATTAGGAGGACCATTTTTTACCCGCAAAATAGATATAAATATAATTTAACAAAGCAGTCTTTCAGTTTTATTGACTAAATATTAAGGAAAATACATAAAGAAAATCACTGCTGTCACAAAACTCCTGTATAACCTAATGCATGTTTCAGTGACTAGAAAAGTGACATCGAAAAACAATACAATCAGAAAACGTAAAAGAGCTATGCACAACATTAAAATGAGTGGATTAATATGTTTTAACGGTTCCAAGTTGTAACATGAGATAATGTTTAAATTGATTTCTGTGCAGGATTAATTGTTTTGCACATTCAAGGGCTGTCGCTCTGCTAGGCAAGTGTGAAAAACCCTGAAGTAACAGAAGCAGCAAATTATCAACCTCAGCATATGTCCGGCTGCTCTTTACCCATGAACTGCAGATTCATCATGGAAGTCACTGTTGATATTGGCAAGATACATCATATTGCATTTCTCATTCAGCCTTGTTGGTCACAGATCCAGCTATCTGCCTTACTTCAGTGAAAATTTTTTTCCATCTTCAGCCACAAATGTAATAAGTGGATGAAAGACTAACAATTCTCTCAACACTTAAACCATTTTCAGATAGCATAGTGCAAATATGAGCATAACAAATATTTCTTAATGTGGGAGTCGTATATATATTCACACAGATTAAATGTTGTATTTGTAGCAGAAAGAGGTCTTGAAAAAACTTGAGTTTCCACTTTCTGTTGTTCTCTGATGGAAAGGCTTCTTATATCGCCCCCTTGTGGTCCTTCTTATTAACCTCTCCTTAAAAAAGGAAATATTTGTGGTCAAACCAACACAGAAATGCAGTGGTTGAAGAGTTAAAATACTCCATCTTTAAAAAACCTTTCTTTAAAATTTTCGATGCTCAATGACCATCAACAGGTTAATGTTTAACAGATTAAGAGAAAAACTTTAGTGGAGGCAGATTTGCACCTTTTACATAAACGAACTTCAGTTCTTTATAGCTAAAATGCTTATAAAATAAAGTATAAAAACAAAATCCTCTGCGGTGACGTGAAAAAAAAATCAACCACACAAAATGTATTTCTAATAATAGTATTTTCCTGATTATCAGTCATTATCACCCTCTCTCTCATGCCTTTCAGATGGAGTGGTTCTTTCTCCCTCCGACAGAAACAGAGCCAAAACTCTTCCCACATCAGGGCTCTCTGAGCAGTCATCGGCAGCATGGGGACGGGACATTTTCCCTGTCCTCTCACCTGTCAGTCCCCCCCAGTTTTTCACCAGGAACCAAGATTACCTGCAAGGTTTCCCACCCAGCACTGGATGATCCACTATATATCAGTATAGTACTAGAAAGCCCCCAACCAGGTATGTATCTGCTGCAAACTGCAAGGCTAATGTGATTTTAGTAACCGATCAATATAGTGAAATAATTTCAAAGAGCCTAAGAAACACAGTCACATGTACTTAATAGGCTGTTTAGATCATGTTCAGTGCAAGAAAAGCACAAAGTTGACCAAACTGTTAGACTTTTAATGTTTAATATAAATATTCTCGATTATAAAAACTTTACTTTTTAGTTTTCTGATCACTTTTTCAAAATAGAATTTTATGCCTCAGTTAAGTTGGCCTATTTCAAGAAAATTTACTTGAGTTTATACCTTTAGCATTTCTTTCTCTTGTGTCTAAAAGAAACTTTGTTGTTTTATCTCTCTGCAGATTCCTATTGGTGGGTTCTTGGTTTCCTTGTCGTCACTGTTCTCTTCTTCTACCAGGTTATGAAATAAAACGACTCCCAGATCACTTCGACTTGAAACTGAGCCTTGAATATAATTTCTTTTGTAAATGTAAACATGTTCAGGTGTCATTTATTTTGGTTGCTGAATTTGAAGCTTTTTATTTCTGGGATTTGTGGAACTTTTTTATGCTGTAATTTGCTGACAGTTTTAGCAAGAAAAGCACTTTCTTTTGCAGATAAGCCACTGGAGGTTCTTCATGTCTGTCATAACTTTATATACTTTTAACTCTTCAGGTAACTTATTTAAAGTAGGAAAGACTGATCTCTAAGTCGCTAGAACTCAATTTTCTAATGGGAAGAAATAATAGGACCTTGCACATCTCTCCTGGGGTTAACTTTAAATGTCATTGCAGTATAAATCCAACAAAAACAGCAGTCTAGATTAACCCTTCTCTGAAATAAATTATGTAAGGTATTTTATAGAAACTTGAATGTAAAACATGAAAAATCCTGTATGTTTTTTTTTTGTGTGTGTGTGTTTTAACTGTCTTTTGCCATTGTTCTCTATAGATCATACGTTTTGCAGAAATCAACTTGTTTTTTTTTACTTTATAATTGGTAAAAAGACAATGTGAGAATGATTTTTTTATTATTATTAAAAAAACAACATGGTTCTTAATATTTGATGGGAAAAGCATTTGCCAGCTTTAAGTCAAACTGCTCTTTAGCACAGAAACAATTCTTCGGATTAATTGCAATTAATCAATTATTTAAATAATCGTCAACTAATTTGGTAATCGATTAATCATTAGCTGCAGTATAGAGGCTTTAAAACGTATCTTTAGCTAACAGAGCAACCCAATTAGAGCAGTAACTATACCAAAATTGTTTAAAAAATATTAACATGTTAATTTAAGATAACAAAAACTTTTCCGTCTGTCAATATGTTCTATCCAGAACTCCTCAAGTGAAAAAGTTTTGGTTTCACCTGGTCTAATTTCAGAAAAAGTCTTCTGCAGTATAGTCAGATATATTCGGATAGCAAAAGGATAGGAACCTTTTGCTATCCGATTATTAATCGATTAATTGAAAAAATTATAGACAGATTAGTCAATTTGGCAAATTAGTTGCAGCAGCCTTACTTCTCTTATAGCTGCTGAGATGCTTTTACCACATTTCCAATGCTGCTATTTTTGGTAATGAGTTGAAAGTCCTTGAAGCATGAAGGCCTCCGTTCCATCCTCCTTATCTTTATCTCCTTCCTAGACTATCAGGTTTAAGCTCAGCTCCACCAAATGAATGTACACTATATTGCCAAAAGTATTTGCTCACCCATCCAAATTATTGGAATCAGGTGTTCCAATCACTTCCATGGCCACAGGTGTATAAATTCAAGCACCTAGGCATGCAGACTGTTTTTACAAACATTTGTGAAAGAATGGGTCGCTCTCAGGAGCTCAGTGAATTCCAGCGTGGAACTGTGATAGGATGCCACCTGTGCAACAAATCCAGTCGTGAAATTTCCTCGCTCCTAAATATTCCACAGTCAACTGTCAGCTGTATTATAAGAAAATGGAAGTGTTTGGGAACGACAGCAACTCAGCCACGAAGTGGTAGGCCACGTAAACTGACGGAGCGGGGTCAGCGGATGCTGACGCGCATAGTGCGAAGAGGTCGCCAACTTTCTGCAGAGTCAATCACTACAGACCTCCAAACTTCATGTGGCCTTCAGATTAGCTCAAGAACAGTGCGCAGAAAGCTTCATGGAATGGGTTTCCATGGGCGAGCAGCTGCATCCAAGCCATACATCACCAAGTGCAATGCAAAGCGTCGGATGCGGTGGTGTAAAGCACGCCGCCACTGGACTCTAGAGCAGTGGAGACGCGTTCTCTGGAGTGACGAATCGCGCTTCTCCATCTGGCAATCTGATGGACGGGTCTGGGTTTGGCGGTTGCCAGGAGAACGGTACTTGTCTGACTGCATTGTGCCAAGTGTAAAGTTTGGTGGAGGGGGGATTATGGTGTGGGGTTGTTTTTCAGGAGCTGGGCTTGGCCCCTTAGTTCCAGTGAAAGGAACTCTGAATGCTTCAGCATACCAAGACATTTTGGACAATTCCATGCTCCCAACTTTGTGGGAACAGTTTGGAGCTGGCCCCTTCCTCTTCCAACATGACTGTGCACCAGTGCACAAAGCAAGGTCCATAAAGACATGGATGACAGAGTCTGGTGTGGATGAACTTGACTGGCCTGCACAGAGTCCTGACCTCAACCCGATAGAACACCTTTGGGATGAATTAGAGCGGAGACTGAGAGCCAGGCCTTCTCGTCCAACATCAGTGTGCGACCTCACAAATGCGCTTCTGGAAGAATGGTCAAAAATTCCCATAAACACACTCCTAAACCTTGTGGACAGCCTTCCCAGAAGAGTTGAAGCTGTTCTAGCTGCAAAGGGTGGACCGACGTCATATTGAACCCTATGGATTAGGAACGGGATGTCACTTAAGCTCATATGTGAGTCAAGGCAGGTGAGCAAATACTTTTGGCAATATAGTGTATTTCCCAATGGAGAAACATGTTGTTAAAATAAAAATAAATAACTAATTCAAAATTGTCAGAGATGTGAATAATTTTAACCGTAAATGTGAGCTAACTGTGAGTTACTGGATTTATTTAGGGGCTCTGAGACAGATTTTTGCTGCTCAAGCCAATATAACCAGCTTTACTAAACTGATAATCATTCAGTTGTAAGTTTAAAAATCCTAAAATTCAGTCATAATGAGTCATTTTTGAGAAATAAAAAAATTATTATAGATAGAAAACTTTAGCAGAGGGACTGTGTGACGCAGTATGATTAGTGTGAAATGATGATCCTGTGGAAACAAAATGTGTTAATTTACTGGTGACAGAAAGATATGGTACTTTGGAAATAAATGTTGTTTTTTTTTTATCTATTCTAATTTGCACTTAAGAAAGCCTACTTTCGAGGTCTTTTTTTTTTAAAAAGCTCCAATTGTTTAGTGTTTCAATCTCTTGTCATATTTTTCCTGCATTGTCTTTTTCTATTTTAGCGTTTCAAATAAACTTATTAAGCCTACATTGGTTAGACTGTCTGATGTAATCAATATATTTTTTTTTTTCTATGGTACGGCTTTGACTTTGGGGGATAAAAAAGGAAGCAATTAAGAGAATAATAAGCTTGTATTATTTTGTAGTTGAATCCAGTCTGTTGGAGACAATAAGCACAAAAGGTAGATAACTTCATTTTATTAAATAAACCTCTTGAATTGAAGAATATGCATATCAAATATCACTATACTGGCTAAACTTTATGGTAATGGTAAATAGTACTTATATAGCACTTTATCAAGTCAGGAGACTAAACCAAAGCGCTTTAGACTACATTCAGAAGCGAGGCTGCTGTACACTGCTGTACACTGGTGCTACTGGTCCCTCTAACCACCATCAGTAGATGATTTGGATGAAGTGACTTGCCCAAGGACAACAACATTGACAGTCAGAGTGTACCAGCAAATCCACATCTAATAAATGCAAAATGGTTTTGGGGTCTTAGTTTCAGTCTAAAAAAACTTATTTGAAATGCTGTCATTGGCTTATAGGCTGTTCAGGCTAAATGTTAAAAGAAAACTGCAAAGTTGATTCCTTTATGGGTGGTGCATCTAAAATGTTTGTCAAGGGACAAATACTTCAAAGCACTGTATATTCAGAAGGAAAAATAACCATGTGGTTATGTAAGATTGTTTTCCAACAATTAAGTGATGCAAACGTAGAAGAAAGACAAGAAGCCTGAAGGAGCATTTTGGTGCAGTTCAGATCATGATTTGTTTATTGGCATCAGCAAAAGTGGTAAACATGCATTTGGTTTTTTTTTTGTGTGCAAATTTCAGTTGCATCTCTTATCCTATGTTCAAGTCACAAAACATAATCTCTTCTTTTTTCATATGATGAATACCTGCAAACATTGTTGTACAATATCAGCAGATCATTAGGGCTTAGCGCTACAGTTATGCATAAATGCATTTTAACTATGAGTTTTTCATATAATTGATTTTTTTCCACTATTTTGAAAATCAGTTTAGAGGAAATGAAATGGGTTTAAGGTACAACCAACAGTCTTCTTAAACCTGAAGTAATTGATATAAACACATTTTCAGGAGCATAAATTTCCATGTCTGTACAATGTTTCTCTTATATTTACTCTACATGATTCCTAAAATGATTTACTACAGAAGCAGTTGGTTGCAGTCCTTTGGAATAATGATCTCAAAAGCAAGTGACACATTTTGGCAAACTGAGCGTTGTTGCATTGCACATTGCATAAGCAGTAAGTATATGATCAGAAAGACATTATACACAGGTCCGTAAAACCACTAAGGAAAGAAAATATACAATCGGCAGTAAGATTAAGAAATGGCAGATACACAGGTCACACAAATAAGGATACTGTTTGCCATGCAGGTTAGAAACAAATGCCTCAGACTGACTGTTATTTTACTGCAGGTGACCAATGAATGTCGGCCTGGGATGATAGCCACGTGGCTCTCTGGGGTAATCCTAATTCTGTCCTTGTTTAGCTTCTAATGCACTCTAAAAACAACAAACTCACCGACTGTGCTGCTAATGCAACGCTGAACATTCATCCGTCTATGGCTGCAACTCTGTCCAATCAGAGTTAAGAGGCCTTCCTATGGGTCCTTTCAGGCGCACAGATTGTCTGTCAGTAGCCGATTCACGTGTCATTCTTTCTTTGCGTTTGACTGTAATGCCACAACCTAAGGTAGAAACCCCCAGTGTGGCTGATTCATCTCTTTCTGCCTGTAGATCATGACTCATGTTGCATGTATTTATGCAGGAAACTATGCTCCTATACTCCTACATTTTTTTTCCTGAATCAACCTTTTTGGCTAAACTTTTCACACAGGCTTTCTCCCTTTTTTGCATTTCTCCTTCTTTGTCAACCCTGCGAAAGTTTGAGACTGAGGTGAGAGAAATTTGTATAGGAAGTGGAATAAATGACATGTAAAAGCTTCAGAGCGGAGGTTCATGACTGCACATGTTGGAATAAAAAAAACAGAAATAAATTTACTCCTAGTCTAATGTGTTAGTAATAAGCAATGACTAAAATAGTTTGGGTGAATTGTGGGTATTAGTTTATCATGTTACTATCAATTTACAAATGTAGGTCTCTTTAGAACAAAATGACAAAAAGGTGGACAAGCTTAACTGAGAACTGTTTTTTTCAATCTCCCCTTAGTTCTGTCTACCTTCTCCTTTTGTCGTTCTATCTTTCCTCCTGGTTTCCGTCTGTCAGCAGCAGCCTTCAATTATACATGAGGGCCAGAGACTGGAGAGAGTGAGCGAGACCTCGTGGAGAAACACTGAGAGAAAGCAGCAAGGAGGAAGGTGGGGAAAGGGGAACAAAGGGAGCAGAGACACAAATGAAGGAACACTACTTTTTAAGTGGAGGAAGGTTCAATGGAAGACTGTGTGAAGAGAGAGAAAGGCTGATTGAAGGGAGGAGTGGCGCTAGGTATTCTTCATTTTTTTTTTTCTTCCCTGTAATGTTGTCCTTCGGTTTGAGTTCATCTGTGATGATGGCAGGAGCTCAATAGAAGAAGTACACTGCAAAAGAAGGGTAAAGTGGAAGCCATTAGACTAATGCTTCTTGGATAGGGGAAGTAAAAAAAAAAAAAATGTAGAAAAGATTTAAACACGTGCGCAGCAAGTATGAAAAGCCATTATCAATGGAGCACCGATTCAACGAGTCACCATGACAACATGTAACAGGAATTGCCTATTTCACCCCACAAAGTAGAGATTTAAATGCAGAAATGCAAAAAAAAAATAAAATGAAAATAGGAGAATGTGTTTAAAAGACAGAAACAGTGCTACAGCTACAAAAGAGAAGAAGGTGGCGAAGGCAAAGATTGTTGTTAATGCATAAGTTAATAAAAAGTGGGCTATGGTTTGCCATTTCTACATTTATTAAAAGCACTCTCCTCTGTTTTTCCATTTGTATATCACTAAATAAGATTCTTCTTATTCAAAATCACATTCCTAGACCTAAATGTAATAATATAGTTTCCAAATTACATTTTTGTAGCAGAAACTGAATTGTAGAAAGTAAAAAAAAAATCTACTATTAAGGATTAAGTGTTATATATCTAGAAATGTTAACACATTTTAATTGGCCGTTCTGACATTTATCAGCTTGACTGAATATGTATTTATGATATCTGAAAAACATTTTTGGAATATGGAGATATGAAATTAATTTATTGACATCCAGAATGTTTATTGTAAATGTGGAGAATGTATGTTTGAAATGTTCATTTAGACAAATCAGGAATACATATTCAGTAAAACTAGTAGATATTAAAATGCCTTGCCAGAGCTGTTGTTACCGTGAAAATATTACTGGATTATTTCTTGAATGGTAGTAGATCAATGTTTCTATTTAGGTGAAATCTTCTGGCAGCAGGTGATGATGAAGAACAAAATGTTGTTCTAAATATATAGAACCTGTGGATCGTCTCATGCATTCCTCCTCATGCTGATTCAGTCTCTTCTACACAGTTAAGTGGATTTTTGCAGACAAACGGCCATTATAAGTTTAGGTATAAATATTTAAGCCTCAGTGAAAAAGTGCAGATCATTCTTTAATAAGATCCTCGTCAAACTGACATGCAATGTTTGTTTTCAAAACTTAATGTGTAATGGACCTACTGAATGATATAGATAGATAGATAGATAGATAGATAGATAGATAGATAGATAGATAGATAGATTTTTTTTAATCAACAAAATTACAACAAAAATCTGACTAAAGCAGGAAATAAAACAATGTGAAAGGCTGTAATGAGAGCAGAGACAAAGAACACTTTGAGTTTACAGAAGAAAATCTGCTACTGACCCGGTTAGTTCAGGGGAGAATGTTACTACTGTGACTGAAACAGAGGTTGAAGAAACTTTCTCTGTGAACCGGAAAAGTCAAAGTTTCCCTGTTTTGAGGTTTAGACAACTTAGAGTTTTTGGTAAACCTGTTTCATGAAATGGACCCTGGACCCTGGAATCAAACCCAGAACTTTGATGCAAGGCATAAATACTAATAACTGCCCGACTTTGCTACTTGGAGATAAAAACTATCCAAGATTTCTCACACTATTTACAAGTAAAAGTAAAATATATGACATATACTGGTTTTATCTTGCCTCATGTAATACTTAGTATAACCAACTCTTTTTGAAAGCACAGCAATAACTCTTTGTGGGTAGATCCATCCATCCATCCATCCATCCATCCATCCATCCATCCATCCATCCATCCATCCATCCATCCATCCATCCATCCATCCATCCATCCATCCATCCATCCATCCATCCATCCATCCATCCATCCATCCCTCTGCCCATCACTAACACCTATATGGGTCATTTCGAGATGCCAATAAATCTAACAATGAGGTTTTTCAATGAGCCGAAGTGCCAGAGATAGTCCACTTATACAGGGGGAAAAAATGTAAATTTAATGCAGAAAGACCTGCATGGTCAGAAAATCATGAAGCTATAACGTAGACTATCACATCTCTACACCATCTATCACATAAAAATCCCAACAAAACCCATCTAATTTTTGACTGTAACATAACTAATTTAAGAACAAATCAAACCAATATATCTTACAATTATTAAAACAAAAGCATTTTATACTTACAGAATATTATTCCAACTACAATGACTCCAATGATGCCCATCATGATCATCATCTATTAAAAGAGAATAAAGACAAAATTCTTTAGTGTTTACGCTTAAGACGCCATCTGAGCCACACAATAACACCCATTACTGTTTGCATTTCATGTCGTTTATTTAAGGAATCCTTTTAGTTTCCACAGAGACTTTTCATTAGCAGATGTTCCTTCTTCCAGTTTCCCTGAAGCATCATTGCGGGAATCTGCAGAAGCTCATTAACAGATTATAATCTGTTCCCCTAAACAGAAAACCGAGTGCAAGCAGGCTTTTGCTTGATTTAGATCCTTATTAGGTTTTCTGTGATGAAGCACTCAAACGCACCCACCTTGCAGTTCTTCCACCAGTACTTGTTTTTTAGCTTAGCTGCGCAGCTTTCAAACTGGGAGGCTCCGGCCTGTAGAGCATCTGCTCTGTCATCCAACTCTGAAAGCTTCTGGTCCCTTTCCAAAACCTTGTCCACATTCACCCTCATAATATCCACCACCTGGAGACAGAGATGAGACAGCATTTGGCACCAAAGGAGGAGAACAGAAAGGATTAAAAGATTCAAAGTTGCTTCTCTAAACAGATAAATCACAAAGGACAGCTCAGCGCCTTCCCCCCTATGAGACATTTCACTTCAGTTAAAAGAGAAATTAACCAAGTTCATTCCGTGCTTCATCTCACCTCCTCAACCTGTGCTTGTGTCTGCTGAAGTCTGCGGTTGCTGGAAGTGTTGGGTGGGGCTGGAGGTCCACCACCTGGGGCTCCATCTGGACCAGGGGCACCAGGAGCACCTGGAGGTCCAGCAGCTGGAGGAGCAGCAGCATCGGGGGCAGACCTGTAAACAAAACAAGACTCTTAAATTAAATCATGACCTAAAACTTTTAAACACTTATTTGAAGTGGATGCTACATAATAGACCTAAAATAGGATTAAGATATTTTTTTCTCTGATATAAATGTTTTTAGTGTATCCAATTTAAACTAACATTTCACATTTATTCTTTAATGACTGACTGTCTAAATACATAAATACATACAGGTTTAGTGTTATCATTAGCAGATGACAAAACAACAAAATGCCAATTCTATATCCCAAATAGGGAGAGAAAAGAAGATTAAATTATATTTAAAACAACTTAATGTTGTTGCTTCAACTAAGAAGTCAGATTTACAGAAATAACTTGTAAAAATGCTCTTCACCAATCTTTCATGTGGTCTCTGGGTTAAAGTGTTAAATCTGTCCAGTCCTCATGTGGAATAATGAGATGGGCCTTTAAGTGAGAATAAAACAACTTTATGAAAATTGTTTTCTAGTTGTTAGAAAATACGCCTCATAGTAAACATCAGCTTAGGAAAGAACACATAAAAGAATGAAGCTTTAGGATTCAATAATATATTCAATTATAATCATCACCACAATATAATTAATGGCAAAGGACTGTGTGGATGCTGATGTCGTGTGTCAAAACTTTTCATACCAATGATATATTTTAGCTTTTTGATTAATCTTGACTTTCCATATGATTAATTAATCGTAAAGTTTTGATGAGGGACATCAAGATTAATCAATGGCAAGTTTTTTTCCAATTATCTTAAAGCCCTAAATTTTGTTTAAATTGTGAAGTACCTCACAGAGGTTTTTCAAAAAGAAAGCTAAACAATAAAGAATGAAGAGTGACTTTTTATTTTTATTACTTTTTTTTTTGGTTCAGGGATAAAATGGATGACAACTTTTCTAATAATTAACTCTAAATCAATCTGTTAAAAGGATAGATGAAAAAAAAATAAATCGCAAAAAGAAAAAAACAGGTTCAAAATTAAATAATTATTACAAAAAATATTACCGTAATAAAACTACCACTAATAATAATTAGACAACATTAACAAAGAGAGCAGAGACTAAGGCATTGCTGGGAATAAGGGTCACAAAGTTCACATGGGGGCCACAGGAGTGGCACAGGAAAACGAAAAATTGACATTTTCACAGAATTTTAGAAGCTTTACACTAAAAAAAATTAAAGTAGCCGTTGTTGGCATTTACTTAATCATATTTAGTTAGTTTAACACAATTGTTTCATGTTAGCAGGGCAGGACATAAACATTTGTTAAAGTAAGTAAATATAATTAAGCAAATGCCAAAAACGGTAACATTATTTTTTGAAGTGTATGAAGCTGGTGTCAAGTATGAATTCATGGAGAGTTGGGTAGGAGAGCACAACTGAGAATGGACATAAACTGCAATAAATGCAGAAATTTATTTGCTTCAGCTCATTCAGAAATCTTACATTATATTTTATGTATAAACAGAATTTTGCTATGTAGCCAGTTGAGTGGTCATTATGTTAATGGGATGGGGGGGCTCTGCTGCTCAGGGGAGAAAAATAAATAAATAAATAAAATAAAAAATTAATTTTCAGAAAACGTTAGATAACAATATCATGTCAGTATTTTTTATTGTCATGAATGTGAAAATACAAATCATGTTTAAAGCCAGCTTACAGGAAAGCCAAAAATAAACCATATCTAACTACTTATTTTAATGCATGTAATTTTGGAAAGAAAAACCATAAACTGTCCCAGTTTGCTCTCCCAGAGGATAAACTGTGGCGTTGGTCCAACTCTAGATAAATTATTAAAGAAATGGGTTTTCACTTGCGTCAGCAAAAAGCGCAACGAAATGAAATAAAACAGCTTATATTTGATTATTTACTCATTTACAAAACACATCAGGTATATAAACTGATATTTCTAAACCTATTTTAGCGTCTTTCACATTGTTTGCTGCATTAAAAAGGACGCAATAAAGAATCCGCATTAATACTCACATTTCCTATGCAGCTGTTTGGACTGACTGACGGGCAGCGGAGAGGAGGAGTCCTAAAGTAATAATATGAATTACTTTCTTTAAAAAAAATGAAAGTAAGGCAGATGTAAAGGCACTTATCCAGGAGAAAAAAAGGCTTTAGTTAGTAGAGAGGTTGAAGTTGCTTGAGAAATGGGCGGGGATTCTTCTTGGCGCAGTGGAAGCGATCTTCAAGCGATGCTTTTATGCTGCAAGTCGTCCGCAAAGTACCGCAACACACCGAGCCACGGATACAGGTCGGGTGATAACTCACTGTGTGGCAGGGGAGTGATGGAGAACAGCGAGGAAAAGGAGCGCTTCTATGTTAAATGATATTCCAGCCAAGAGGTGAATCCATGGATGTCCAGATCCCAGCGGGGATGCTGCGTCCTGCTCCTCCAAGTGATCCTGAGTTGCTCCTAGATGCTGATGGAGGACGCAGCGCTGATTGGCTGGCAGGCTAAGTAGTTTCCTGTTAGGAAAGCTACAAACTGTTTTTTTTTTTTTTTTTTTTTTTTTTTTTTTTTTGGATCAGGGGAAAGAAAGTGCAATAATGAGAAAACAGTTTGATTCCTGCTTCCTCCTCCCTTTCTCTCTGGGAATCATGGGGGGGAAGTGCGGTACTTTGGTTCGTGCAAAGTGTTTCAGCTGCAATAATGCGTCTCCTCACTTGGATTCCAACGACAGTGCGGCACCCCTCCCCTCCCCTCCCCTGCCTCCTGCCAGTGCTGCAGCTCTCCATGGCGGGACCAGACTGCGGTATAGTGGGCAGCCAGAGAGAGGAGTGTTGACTCGGCTGTTTTGCTCTCCCTGGCCCGGGATTCTGTCAATCACCCCCCAGCTACTGTATCCCACTTCTCTTTGCAGCTGCCTGTGTTTCCAATCCAGCCCGTTAAAATGCGCACCGTGGGCACTTCCACACAGAGCCATTTATTCAACAACAGTAACAGTTAAATCAGCCGTGGAAAACTGAGCTCTTGAAGCAAATGAAGAATATGGATGCCAGTGTTGATTTAAGATAGTCTAATACTTTTACTCTTAATTTGGATCAAAATATTTATCCATTATGAGCAAATTATGGGTGTTTTAAACAAAACTTTTTCTTTGTCATTCATCTATTTATTGCTTCATTCCCTTTATTTTTCCAGGCTTCTTTTCAACACATTGATAAACTTCTTTCTACTGTGTTATAAACAGTATGCATTCTTTTTTATTTCTTAACAAATTTATTTGTTTACATATATATATGTCTCTACAATAAGAGCAAAGTGGAACCAAACTAGAAAACTCACCCTGTCACCTGGGCTTTTGTTTCATTCAGGGAAACATGTTCAGATTAAAGGCTGATCCAAGCATCAGGAAAGCTTTGTTGTAGGAATACCCAGCATGGTTTTTTGTTTTTTTTAATCTAAATTTTCTCTGACCTCTTGATGCTAGCTTACTATCTCCAGCCTGTTTTTATTTTTTTTAGGTAAGTTAGCCTTTGCAACAGAAACTGGCCCACAGCATCATCCATCCTCCACTATACTTAACAAAGGGTCGGAGCTGATTTACCACATTCATTCTTTCACCAAAAGGTTTTGTTTCAAAAGCTTTTATAGTAGTAGAGCAGAAAGGACTGCTTTTCTCTAAAAAAAAAAAAAAAAAAAAAAGGGTTGGCATGTAGAAGAGATCTACAGCAGTGGTCTGAAACGCTGGGTCCTTGAGAGTCACTGCCTTTTATCTCTTACAACACATCAGTCAGATAAGAATCTCTAAAACTGACTGTGTTGTAGTTTGGCCATTTGATTCATGTGTTTGTCAGGGGATTCATCTCACTGCTGAAGAACACCGTCCCCCAATGATTTCAGTTTGAGACCACTGACCCAAACGTTACCATGAAGATAGGTAAACCTGTAATCCTGCTTTTTACTATACCTCACAGTATCAGGCATTTACAGATAGATTTAGTTTTAAAATAATCTGTTTTTTCTTCTTGGATTAAATTTTTTGTGAGCAGTAAAAAAATTCTCTGCTGTGCCTTTGGTTCAACTACTTTCTTATTCATTAGTTTTAAGACTTAATTTGGTATTTTTGTTCAATTTTACAAACATGTTCTTATTAAGGCTTACATAACCTATGGTGTTCTTGTGACCATATTGGTTTTGTACTATTTTTCTTGTAAGGTTAGTGTAGTTAGCTGTTTTTAGCAAATGGTCTTTAGTTTTCTGAGCTCTCCTTTAATTTTAGAGAAAAATATATACAACTGGCAGATAATGGTTTAAATGCTCCTACGACTCATTTTAGTAGATTGTGTCCCCAAGACCACTGAGTAGGCCAAACACCGAACACAGCCTTCTGCCAGCAAGCCATTAAATCCTGACCCATTTAAATATGGTTTTATCCACTTGGATTTCTCATGCTTTTCTGTTAACAATCCAGAAGAAAACACTACATTTTATATTCTTGTTTTCTTAGTAGCTAAATGAATAGCCATCAGTTATGCTATAAGATATATATCCGTTTCCTTCAGTTAACTAAAGGAAAACCCCATTTAAAAACTTGTCAATGTCAATAAATCAAATTAATACACATACTACCACATGGCAGAACCATCAGGGTCACATTTTACTGCAATAAATGTTAAGTTTCATTTGCCTCCAAAGGTAAGATGTGGAGTTGTTAATGATTTTACATTAGAGCTAGTTGGCACTGAAATATTTATCTGGGACAAAGAAGCACATTTAGTAATTATATAAAGGAAGGCAGTTTATCTTTACATCCTATTTTTTAGATTAAGTTTTTCAGTCAGTTGTGATTGATAGAAAGAGGTCAACTAGGGGTCTGATAAACATACTATGATCTGACAACTTCAGACACCTTTCCCTTATAAGAGCCAATTTAACTGACATGCTGCATTCTTTTTTTTATTAAACCTGGACAACTCTAATCCTGTTGGCACTATGCTACCCGTTTGATAATCTAGTAAGCCTTGGTGTAGCAGTGCAAAAGAAAACAAACACACTTAAAACCCATAACATTGATGCTGCTGGATCTGTGGAGCTGAATCAACAACAAAGTTGCTTTCAAATAGTATCCTTGAATCAATCAATGATTGTTACCTTTAAAAAACATGACTCAAGTGATTTGAAGGTTTGTCACCCAATCAGATCCCCATATACATACTTTGTTCACCTTAAAAAAACCATAAAATGTCAGTGCAGACTGAGGTAATTTGAAGTGCCGTGTGGTGGCATCTTCTGGCTTCAGGCATCTGCTGTAGAAGAGTTTGTTGCAGCAGCAATGTGTCTATAGCTGAGCTAAACAAGAACGGCTCTGTTGTAAGACGTACCCTGAACCCAGTGCAGGCTGTGCAGTCGGAAGGACTTCAGCCAAAACAGCATCACTGTGGGAAAATGTCTCCCACCCAAGGCAAGAGGCAGTTGTGGAGCTGGAGAGCTCCTTCCGTGACAGACTGCTGTACTAAGGAGTGTTCGTGCAAATCCTTCCTTTTAGCTAATGTTAAGACTTTATAACCATTTATTATAATAAATACACCCAACGATCTTTGTAAGTTGCTATATCTCTGAGGATTGCTTATATGGTTTCAATACATTTTAAATATTCTGTTGGGTGTTATGTATGAATATGAATACGAATTTTGCACAATTGAGGGCACCCTGATCAGTTTTACACTATTTTCTCTTGCAATTTACCCATGTATATTTCTCTTTAAGTTTAATTAAGTGCTGGGACAAAGTGTCAGAATTTCCCCACTGTGGGAGAACAAAGGGTTTTTCTCTTTTCTGTTCATTTATGCTGAAGCACTAAGTGGGATTGAGTCTTTAGTCTACTCTGAACTGGCGAAACAAAAAAAAATAAAAATCTTTCATAAAAAGTGAAGTACATGTAAAAAAAAAAAAGCCATCTAAATGATCATTTTATGATGTTATTTTCTGTGTATTTCGAGGTTCTTTTTGTTTAGGGATGGCCAAAGGAAAAACAAAACAATAAGTACACGATGTCTGAAATATATATTTCCTCATTAAATTACTCAACATAACAGTCATATGATGAATTGACATGAAAAAACTCTGACAGTTCTTGTTGAGTGAGGTTTGCTGCGGTATTAGCGGTGCTTTCCGGTGCGGTTGAAGCGTCTGTAGAGGAAGCGGATCCTCTTCTCCAAGTTGTGTCGGTCCAGAGTCATCATCCTGTCTCCCACCATCTTCTTTTTTCTAATCAAACGCTGCAATTCATTACCTCTAAAACCCTTCAGCCAACAGGGGGCAATGATGAGGTCTTTAGGATGGGCTTTGAAATCCCCTAGATAAAAAAAAAAAAAAGAAATAAATGAGACTACTGCACAAAATGTGTGGAAAAATAAAACAAAAATGCCATCTAAAGTTAAGAAATCACCTTCAAACACTTATTTCTAATTTCTAATACAATATCTTATTCACATACAAGCTTCATAAAATAAATGGACTAAATGTTTATACCAAAATAAAAGCCATATTTGACTGTATGATCTGGTTGAACTGTGGAGTGCCTTGAGATGACATGTGTTGTGAATTTGGCGCTATATAAATAAACTGAATTGAACTGAATATTAAGGATATATAACTTACCTAAGATGCCGATGTTGTCATAAACTCCAAACATGCTCCTTTTTTCGGTCCACCTGTCAACTTCTTTAGGCTGAGGAATAGCATGCATCCTGATCTGGCAGCAAGTCCCTGAATAAAAGATATTGCTGCAATCATTAAGCAGTTCAATAAAACTGTTTCCACAAGTTATATGTCTACAACTAAATACGGTAGAACTGACTTTCATTACAACATTATTCTAAAGCAAATATTGCATTAGATCGTGGGGTGGCAGCACAATGTTTGCTAAAAATTGTGAAGGATCCTGAGATTAGAATATTGCACTAATATTAGACCTGCATATGAACAATTGATATGTAGTCACATTAAACCTTTTAAAATCTGTTTGTCAAAATGTATGTTGTCCCCAGAGTAACTCAGTTACACATAACTGCATAAATGAATTAAACATTTATATTTTTTCATGCTATAATTCCATCCTTATTAGTGTCACTAAATGTTTTTGATATATTTATTATCTTATACTCTTATATAGTCTATCATATTTCTTTTCATTATATATTAATAAGGTTTTATTCTTTTATGTTAGTTTTATTATCTACCAAGGTTTAAAAATATGTAACTATTTTAAATGTTCTTAAAGAAATATAACAAATTTATATAAGGAATTTATATTAGCGGCTGTTTCTAGTTTATAATGTTTACTGTCCCATATGTTCAAATATTACATATGAATTAACTGTGATGGAACAGCATATGGCCATCAAAGTCTGATGGTTATGATTTATTTTTATTCACCTAGTATTAGTGGGTTAGTTCTTACTGGGGTCAGGATTAGAAGAATTTTCAGGTATCATCAATGGCGTAACGACACAACAATAAGCAACATTATCTGGGTGGGCCCCATATGAAGTACAACACCCCATCCAACCCCCCATTTTCTGTTCTTCCAGCAGCTCTTCTTTGCCTTTTCTTTTCTGGAATCCGCTTAAGTACCTCATTTTGGTATCCATCGTCGCTAATACATTGTATGTATCGGTTATAGATTTAATCTACGCTCTAGGTTACCCATAATTCCAAGTCGTATTGTAAAAAATAAAATACTCAAATACATCACTCTTTTAAGATTTTTAATGATGTTTGAAACATATTACATGAGTGTAATTTTACCAACCGTCTAATGAACAATTAAAAGTACCACTGTCTGATTTGCTGTTGGTGTCGTGTTTAAATGGCTCACCACACTGTTGAAATCTGCCATGTGTTGAGGTATAAATAAGGTCTAGTCAGTAAATCTAATATCAGGTCAGTTACGGAGAAATTTTCGTCCCAGTCAACAATTGCGTAGGGGGCCAACCAGGTGTCAGTGACGGGGCCCCTAAAAGTCGGTGGCCCCTAACCAACTGCACTTTCTGCTTACTGATAGTTACGCCATTATGTATTATTGCTTATCAGGTATCATCGCTTGTCAGCATCTGTTCAACAGTTTTTTAAAGAGGGGCCCAAACAATCAAAAGGAGCAATCATCTGAAAAATAGCATTGCCCATCTTTTTCAGCTTTTTCTGCAGGATGTGCTTTGATATTTATCTTACACAGATGTCAGTTCATTTCTAACCATCATGTCTTGCTGTTACTTTACTTAGCCTGTTTACTTAGCCCTGCATCAGTGTCAACTAGGGCTGCAACTAACGATTATTTTAAAAATCGATGAATCGGACGATTATTTTTTCGATTAATCGATGAATCGGACAAAAAATATTTTTTATATTAACCTCTTTATTCCAAAATAAACATTTTAGACAGAACAAACAAGCACACAAGTACAGGTTGCTCATTAACTGTACTGGTGTAATATGAAAAATAAATGTTTGTGTTAAAACTATGCAAACTTACATGAGAAATGTAGCTGTACATCCACAAAATATAGGGTACTTTGTTTCATAAAGCGCAAAAAAAGACATTTTTGTTTTTAAAAGCCCCTAAGGGGTTCAAACAATAGGCCCCCCATTTCAACAAATGAGGTTTTTTAGACTAGAAGAGTTCTGCCTTTTAAGACAGGAAAGTATAGCAGTTAAAGTTGCTGCTTTAGAAAATACTGAACCATAGAGATAAAAATAGCCCTGTGATTCAAATTATAAATTGTATTTGGAATAAAAATGAGAGAACTAGGGGTGCTAAAAAACACATCCTCCAAAGACAGATATTTACATGGGAATGTGGCAGATAATTAATTGACATATTACTGATCTTGCTGGATTTTATTCTGCTTTACTTCCATAAATTGCAGGATCTTCTTTACTTTATCTTTGCCAGAAGATTTAAACTTTAAAAGCCTTGCCCTCATAATTTGCAAGTTAATTTATTTATAAAGTAAATGTAAACGCTGCTTAAGCTAATTCAAATGAAATTAAAAGTAAAATAAGTAGCCAACCTTATCACTGTCTGTAACCTACTAACACGGTAAGGAAAGCATCAGATGAGCTACCTGAGAAACTAACGTAACGTTTCCCCACTTTAAAACCAAACAAACATGGTGGTTCCGTGCCATGTTAATTTCTTTTGAAAAAAGTTGCATGTTACGACTTTTTTCGCTTTACAAAGCGCAGGCTATTTTAATTATTGTGATCAATTTGCGCCGCACAATCCCGGTGCATGCGCGCTTCATTTGCAGGCTGGACGCTGAGGCTCTGACTGCAGAGCTGAGAGGGACTCCTGCGGGAGTGGGGGGAGGCGCCCCACGGCAGAGTAGGAACGATACATGCTTTCACGTAAGAGACTCCAAAAGCCGCCAGTGACACCGAAAAAAGTCGCCAGATTTGTTGCTAGTCGCTTTTTTGAAAAATAGTCGCTGGAGGGGTCTGAAAAGTCGCTGAGTTGGCAACACTGCACCTGCAGAGCTGACTCGCTCTGCCATATTTTTTTTTCTTCCTCTTTCAGTCAAGAGGCAGTGATGACGGCGCGGCGGATGACGTAATAATCGCGCGACACAACTAATCGATGATGAAATTCGTTGCCAACGCTTTTAAAAGTCGATTTTATCGATTCGTTGTTGCAGCCCTAGTGTCAACCATAGTAAGGAGAAGACATGCTGAACACTCCTACGAAATAAAAATTGGCGCTAAGGCTGCAGGATCTCACTTTGTGGTTCCAACAACACAAAGTAGATTGATAGAATGATTTTAAATCGCACATCCTGCTCCCCGCAGCTCTCCAGACCTGTGCAAAGCAAAGCCTACAGCCTCTGCTGTTCCTGCCATATGGCTGAGCTCCGACTTATCCTCAAAGCCCGAGGAGAGCATGTGCAATATTCTCATTAAATTCAGGAGCAAAACATGAAGAAATAAACACTTAATTTAATATGACATATTAAAAAAATCCCCATCAGCATCCAGCATAGGTGCAGTTTCTGATGGAGATGAGAAATCTACTTCCTGGTCTTTTGAAGTACCAATAGTTTGCAACCAATCTTTTAAATAAACAGTGTTGTTTTTTTTAAATATATAAATAAGTAAGTATAAATAAGAATTATGCTCTAACTTGTAGTTACCGATCTGTTGTTACTATATTTCAATTTGACAAATCGGATCTTCTGGCCATTCTTTTTCCTGTTTGGTGCAATTGCAATAGCCGATCTTGACCTGGCCAGACCGGAGCAGAGCCTGAACATTTAGAGTATGTTTAGCTCAACCTGCTGCTGTGAAAGCAGGATTCTCCACCATGAACAGAATGAAAAATAAATATGGATCCAGGCTATAAAAATGAGCACCTTAATATGTGCTTGAGAATGGCTTTGTTTCCATTCAAACCCAGGTTTAAAGCCTTGCAGGGCAGAATAAAGCCCACTGCTCTCATTAAGCAGAAAGAAAGAAAGAAAAAAACCAAAAAACAAATGGTCAGCTCAGGTGTTTTAAAAAATATCTGAATCAGAAAATTGTCTATATACTAAACTGCAAGATTGTTGTTCTCTACTTCAAAAACACTTTAGATTTTAAAATGGAAACATTTTCTATATTGTTTTATTCAATGTATAACATTAATACATAAACATCTAATTTTATTTCAGTGTTAAATCCTGCTTAAAGTAACCATTAAAAATGTCTCTGGACCTTTACTGGTTAATGATTTTCTTTATTCAGACCCTGCTGGTTTTTAATTGGTGGCCCCTGTAGTAGACTGTGGCCAAATGTGTTTCATAAACAGGTAGACTATGATAGGAATTTAAGAGATGAACAGCATCTTACCTGTAGAAATGGTCCTGGCTGGGAGCAGCAGTGTTCCAGCAGAGTGGAAGAAGGTCGACCCAGCTCTTAACAAACCTCCAAACATCTCCTAAAAAAAAAAAAAAAAAAATCATTGAAACTAAAGCTTTGGAAGTATTTCAATATACTGACTCGCTCGACAAAGACACAACTGTATAGGACATCTTCATTTATATCATCAACAACCAGTTTGTAGCGTTAGCTTCCGCTAACACATTGCGTAAAAGTAGATTTTTAAACGTGTACCTGTTCTCTCTTAGAATAACAGTTCTGTATCAGATTAGGCCTCTGCTATTGCAACAGCAAAGCTTTACTGTGGAGGAAATTAACAAATAGAAGTATGTTATGATCGCTTCGACGTGCTCTCTATGACCGCTACCATCTTTACGTTGTGCCCCACAATGCAACGCGGCTTTGCCGTATTGTTGATTGAGCAGCGCAAGGAAAAACATACATTTGACCAGCAGGGGGAGCTGTTGGTAATGTGTGTAAACTGGAAAAAGGGGGCAAACAAGGTGAATGGAAAGTAGCTTTGTGCCTCCAGCTTTTATGGACAAAGGCTTTGTTTTAAAGATCACGGCATAAAAAAAGGGTATAATGTACTTATATGACCTCACTGTGAAAAGAAAAAAAAAAAAAATCACATAATTAGATCATCAAGGGTATACAACGACCTGAAAATGATCAGGTGCTCAAAGGGGGTCACTTTAAAAAACATAAAAAAAAAAATATATATATATATATATATATTTATATATATATATATATATATATATATATATATATATATATATATATATATATATATATATATATATATATATATATATATATATATATATATATATATATATATATATATATATATTTATATATAAATTTATATATATATATATATATATATATAAATTGTTATTTTTCAGGGAGAAGTTGACCCACAAATTTAATGGTGTTCTATATATATATATATATATATATATATATATATATATATATATATATATATATATATATATATATATATATATATATATATATATATAGAACACCATTAAATTTGTGGGTCAACTTCTCCCTGAAAAATAACAATTTCTTAGCTTTTACCAAAATGTCCCTCTTTTATGTAATGTTTACTTATCCAGCTTATGAGCTTCATTATTTTACCTCTTGTATTGTCACTGGCACTACCCAAGCAGATTTAGCTGCTTAATTTTACTTCTACTTTACATTTTGTCAGTTTGCATTTATTACGAAAAAGAAAAAAGAATAAAATCAAATTAAAACCAAAATCAATCATACCAAGCACAGAAAAGTAGGCTTTTACACCCTAAGGGGGACTTTTTATATTAAGAGCAAAATAGCAGGTGTTCAAAGAGGCACAGTTACAGCAGTAAGACTGAGGGTATGACTTTTACCAGCTTTGCATATATTGAAACTGAAATCTTTGCTCTTTCTTCTCTGTAAAAAACAACTAAAGCCCCCGTGCTGCTTGTCTGCACATTTCTGTTTAAAAATACATTTTAGATTTTTATATTTAATAAAATAAATAATTGGTGGGAGCCTCTTTGGTAGTATTTCTTCCCAATCAACATCTAAAATCATGTAATTAAGGCTATATGTTCATGAGTCTTATCAATTTAAACATATTATTGAATAAATAAAAAATTCTTGATACAAAATACAACCTTGATTTGTACTCTTCATTACTGTGGTTACTCTTTCGGTTGATTATATTACTCTTGACAAAAGGCTATCACCATTCTCATTAAAGATGAGTAATGAAACACAGATTATCCAGTAGGAAAACAAAACATCTATTTCATAATTTATAGTAACGCGTGTAAGTTTTGTGTCTTTTGTTTTACATTATAAATCATGTTCTTCATTTTGGTCACCCAACAAGACTACCGTAATATTGATTTCATTTTGTTCAGGGCTGCCTATAACAACAATTTCTTTTTTTTTTTTTATATATATATAACAGAACGGGAGACACATGGAAATTTTCTAGCACTCGGGGATCAAAAAGTAAAAGTAAAATTTTAGGGAACAAGGTCAGAATTTAGGTGAAAAATCGCCAGCCAACAACAACAACAACAAAAAAAGAACAGTTCTTAGAATTATAGGAAGTTACCAAAAAAGTAATAAGGCCTTCCTTTTATGTCAAACGATCTAATTTCAAATAAATGTAGGCAAAAAGGTATTTAAAGTTGATTTGAATTTAAAATAAATTTGATAAAAATTGTTTTCTGTAACCTTGTGATATAAAAGTCCACATCTTATATCGTAATACAATGAGTGCATGGCATTTAAGACATTATCACCTACCACATTTAGAGTCCTTACTGACTGCAAGAATTGCACTCATTCCAAAGAAAACTCCAAGTAGATACATTGTGGAGCTTTTCTTTGAACATTTTGAGACATGGCTAATTGAAACCGGGAAAGAAAAGCATTATGTGGACAAACAACCAACGGTGGTTTTGGAGAGATCCAATGCCAAGGTTGGAGAAACTGTTCACAAGACAACTACTGATTTGTGCACTCCACTTTTCTGGTGTTTAAAGACAATGGTAAGGAAGATCTCCAATATCCATGTAGAAAATGTGGAAGAAGGAGGGGGGAAATAGTGCAAAACAGGTGTAAAGTGACCGACAGTGCAGGTCGGAGTTGAGGGGGGCAATGGCTTGGGGAATAATGCAAACCAGGTGAAAAGTGTCCGTAGATGCAGGTGAGCATGATTTGTGTTAACTTTTTATACAACCTATGTAGGAATCTTTTTGCTACCGGACAGGCCTTGTGGGGGCTGGTCCTAATGTGGAGGAGCCCCATTTTTAGTTTGAGAGAGACAGTTTAGAGACATGGTGTGAATTAATTTTATCTTAAGGTTGGGAATTTACTGGTAATGTTTAGGGATGGGGTACATGTCAGTTAGGCATAAACGCTGTAACGAAAATGAATGAAAGTCAATTAAAGTTCAAATATGGATGGAGAAAAAAACTTGGGTATGTGTATTTCTGATCCATCCATCCATCCATCCATCCATCCATCCATCCATCCATCCATCCATCCATCCATCCATCCATCCATCCATCCATCCATCCATGCTAGGGTTGCGAGGGGTGCTGGTGCCCATCTCCAGCTGTCAATGGGTAAGAGGCAGGGTACACCTTGGACAGGTTGCCAGTCTATTGCAGGGCAAGGTGCTGAGCCTTTCAGTGATTTATACGCTAACATAAGGATTTTAAAGTCTATTTTCTGAGCTACATGGTGCCAGTGTAATGACCTCAGAACTGGGCTGATGTGCTCTACTTTCATAGTTCTTGTGAGAACAGAGGCAGCAGTGTTTTGGATCAGCTGCAGCTGTCTGATGGACTTTTTGGCAAACCTATAAAGATACTGTTGCAGTAATAAACTCCACTAAAGATAAATGTATGAATGAGTTTTTCTAGATCTTTCTTGGACATCAGCCCTTTAATCCTGGACATGTTCTTCGGAAGATAAAGGTTGCCTTACTAACTGGCTTTAGGTGCCTCTGAAAGTTTAGGTCTGAGCCCATCATGACACCAAGATTGCATGCTAGGATATCTCTGTTGGGGGCTCTTGGTGCATTGAAGCTTTGCAATGTCTGCATCTTCTATCAGATCATACTCTGCAAAATTAAGATGCAAAGGCAAATTTTTATGCAGATGCAGAAATCTTCTTTTGGACAAGCATTACATTTAAATGGTCTAAAAAGCTAGATTTCTAACATATACTTTGGTCAGGATCATCATATAAATGCATTCCTTTCATTTTTATGAACAGTTTTTGCATCATGTTTGTTGTGAGTGCCATGGTACCACGCTTTGCTTCCTGTGGGTGTTTGACAGTTTATGATTATGAACTTGTCAAAGAAGCTAAGATGCATTTGAAGTATGCATTTTCCATAAGTATGCATTATGCATAAGTATGCATTTGAGTCCTTTTTTGTGTTTACAATCTTTTCTGCTCTGAGGGCACAATTTCAAAGCATGGTCATTCAGCTAATAGTCTTTAAGAAAGGAAAAATATGAAAAACCTCACCACTGAAAGAGAACAAGAAAAATATGTATAGGTATTATTTAAATTAAAGTGTGCATTCATTATATATGTTTATGATATCTATAATTTGTTGATATTTAAGGATGAGAGACATACAGGAACATTAAAAAATCCACTTTTAGTTTTTATTTTCTCTAATCAATAATCATCCAACTGACAAGAAGTTAAACATACATTCTACTGTATATTTAAGGGATCTATATAATATGATTAAAAAAATAAAATAACCCTTTTTCACAATATTAGTTTTTTATGTTTCTATATCAAACTGCAAAAAAACAAACAAAAAAAAAGCAATGAGAGAATAAAAACCAAGATCAGGAAGTTATCATTGAACCAATTTAGGCTTTAGAGTGTTGATATGACTTTGTTACCTTTGTTAAGATCTTGCATGACAAAGTCTAATTTTTCTGTATCTAAATGTTTCTTAAAGAAATGCAGAAAAAATGACGGGAGAAGAAAAGGGATCCAGTTTCATCCCAGATGTTAATTCAGTTCACTTTATTTATACAGTGGAAATATTTTTTTTAAAGTCTCAAGCTGAGACAGACATGCCTTTTTCTTCTTCAAAGTGCCTCTTTTCCACTGAACTTTAGATAACATCAGGTACAACAAACCAATCGACTCCACCCACACTGTATGTGCTGCAGAGGAGGGTTGGGGGTCCTATCAATCGCACATATTTGTAGCATATTCATGAGTCAGTGGACCACTTAAAGTTCCGACCTAATTCCAGACCTGTGATTTGATGCTAAAAGATGCTCTCTGTCTACTTTGACAAACGCTGAGCTATTTTGCAAAGATAATTGGGGGAAATTTAATGGGGGTAAATGCAAATTTAGGCTATACCTCAGACTTTAACCATGCAAACTGGAGGGGTAGAATACTTTTAGGGTCTTGTTGACATTATCCAATGAGTCAATTTTTACAGACCACATGCTTGTTGGGGTGTTGTTGATACTAATCGTAAATTGATAGCCTTTTTATAGCATTTTTCTTGTCATATTGCTTGCACTAAAGGAGCATTAATATTGTTACTTATTCATTTATTTACTTACTTTTCTGTTTTAAGCAAAACAGTATCATTTGTATTTTTGCTAATAGCATTAATTATTAATGTTTCAAGCTTTAATTGGTTTGGTTTCCTGTTTCACATTAACTTAGACTAAAACCATAAGAACCTTCCTTCATTCAGACCGTTTTTCTTCTAACACACTGACACATGTAGACACTTTCAGTCTTACTGATGCATAGAGACGAACGGAATATTTTGTCATTTTCAAAAAGACAAACGCAGCAAAGTTGATCTTTGTCAGTATTTCATTT